CGACAGTTCAGATGTGCTGTAACTGCCTGGCGCTTCGAGTCAGTTCCAACCGTCTGACTCTTCACGTTCATTCTCGATACTGCGTGTTCCTTTTTGCTGCGGTGAGGAGTGCACAGTAATAATCAAATATTACTATTCGTAACAAGTAGCTTGATTCCTATTGGACAAAAAAAACTGGAAAACTAGAAGAGGACAAACTTCTTGGCTCTGAACTGACTGGGTCAGCCTCTACCAAGGTATAATACCTTGAAGTTGAAGTTGATAGTTGGGCTACGGCTCCTTGTATTTGGATTGTGAAACATTACCCACTCTACTATTGAGACAACCCTCCGTCTGAGATAAGCAGTATATATCCAGAGGTTAGGTGTACAATGTTCCTCGCTCTAAGCCGCGGAACTCTATCTGTGGAACAAATGGTTGACCATCTTGACAAAACCCCTTTCTGGTGGTTGTTTGGGAAGTGCACACTGTACAGGCTGGAACACTTGGCCACTCTCCCCACCAGCTGTCGGAGAGCTGTCCATTTGGTCCTTTGCAGGGAACGAGATGAGCACCGTACCCCACCCAGCCAGACCAGCTTACGTAAACAGCGGCATTGGGGAGCAGAGGTGAAGTGAATTGGGGGTGCGAACGCGTCGCATTTCGAAGCACCCGCGAACCGCGCTGACAAAATTCCTCCCAACCAAACCAGAACCGAGGCTAGTGACACGGGGAGGTTTGTCAGGCGGTGTGGTGTGAGTGATGCTTGGCCTTGAGCAATTGACACTTCTGCGCAGGGGCACCACAATTCCTACTGTTCAGCTACCCCAGCAGAACAGTAACGCGAGTGCGACGGGCCTCTGATGCGGCTTCAGGTGAATCATTTGTCCTCTTGGGACCTCAGGTGGAATCCATGGTAGACGTTTGGGGAATACGTAGTTTGACGTTGACAAATGCAAGCTGTACCCACCAGTAACACAATGCAAGCTTCGCCAACCATCGAACGCAAACTACTTCGAAGAAATGACGGTTAATTTGTTTCGTGTCGTAGTCAGCATGATTTGTGATAGTTCAAATTAAATCAATATGAGGAGCGGTAACTTTCAAATCAGAAGGAGACACTGGAAACGAAAACAAAGTTAATAATAGTCAGTTTCCTGACACAACTTGCTATCCACTAAATTGTCTTTTGCTGCTGTACTTCCGAGATCCAAATCGGATGCAGTCCCAACTGACTTTGTATGTTTGCTTAAACTACATAGCTTGCTACTGTCTTCTATCGAGCCCACCATGAGCTTAAGAACAAGACTGATGTACAGCAACGTCCCACCTCCGAGAAAACGACACTATTTCTTAGAACGTTGATCAGGGTTACCGGAAGAAGACATGCGCGGAGTCTACGATCAGGAGAGTCCTCCGTCTCACTTCTTATGTTTTTTTATATGAAGACATTGCTGCCCGCCACATCTTCGGTGAGACCACGGAAGGATTTGGGCGGTACAACTTGTTATTTTGCAACGATAACAAGTACCTTGTGATAAGTCCAAAACATTAACGTCTTTTTGTGGCTGTCATTGGTTAGCACTACTTGTCGTTCACGTCTCTCAGTCCACAATCTCCTCCGCAAGCCGAGGACGTCTTGTTTTCAGGGGCCGATGAATGTCCCGTATTCGCATTTCAATTGCTCAAAACCGAAGCATTTCGGTCAGTTGGATTGTCCAGGCAGATAGGTTTGTGTCCAGGGTTCTCCCTACTCAACATGCCCAACTGCTTCATTTTTCTTCCCACCTGGCTGCAAGGTCTTCCATAACCTGCCGAAGCCCCTGCCCATTCCCCAAATCAGCGCCGAACTTACTGGCTAGCTCTGGTAGTGTCGTGCTAACCTGCAGCCTGTACACAACCTCCTGTAGGGGGTTCAATTGATTCGTCATTTCGTTCGATCCGTAACATTTCAGAATCAGTTTTGCGCCTGACGCTCGCGGCTTTTCTTCACGAACTCGACCTCCTCACTGGGCGCATCAGCTGTAATACCATTAGCTGGACTAGGCACCACACCAATCGATTAACGATTGACGAAAAGCTTTTTATCACCCACCTCTTCGAGTACCTACAGGCCCTATTTTTTTGGTAGGCCAAGAAACGTCTTCCAAAGCGGTCAGAAAACGTAGCCATGGCTGGCGGAGCAGCTCCTACGGCCTATGGCCGTTTGATGAACAAACTGCGCAGTCCGGTCCAGATTCTGTCGACATTCGTTCTCGGCCTCCTACTCCCGTTCGCATTCTACGTCTTTTGCGACAGTGCAATCGGCATCGACATCTCGCCCATCTGCTACCTCGTCGTTGTCTTCATGCTGGTGCTCACCGCGCTCGTTGTATGGGTCGAATGTTTCCTCGCCGTGTTCAACCGAGAACCTGTTCCTGAAGAACCAGGATCGCCGTATCCACCGGCTTCAGCAATTATCGCTGCGTACCTTCCCAACGAGTCGGACACTATTTTGGAGACGATAGAGGCCTTCCTCAACGTGGAATACCCCGCGCCACTTCAGGTAAGCAGGATCCCCGCCCTCGCTTCACCTTTACCACTCCCGTCAACCTTCTGCTATCAGATGTTAAAACACTATTTCTAATGCTTCATTTTTCACCTGTGTTCTCTAGGTCATCCTGGCGTACAACACGCCTCGCGACATGCCGGAGATGGAGAGCATTCTCGCTGAGATGGGCAGGCAGCGCCCCGATCGGTTCCTCCCTTACCGCGTTATCCATTCGCGTTCCAAGGCCGAGAACGTGAACGCCGCTGTGAAGCTGATCCGAGGCGAGTTCGTGGGGGTCTTCGACGCGGATCACTGTCCGGCGCACGACTCGTTCATGCGCGCCTGGAAGTGGCTCAGCAACGGGTACGACATCGTGCAAGGGCACTGCCTCGTGCGAAACGGCGACGACAACTGGGTTGCGCGCGCCGTCGCAGTCGAGTTCGAGACGATCTACTCCATTGGCCATCCCGGCTCGGAATCCGTCCACAACTTCGGCTTCTTCGGCGGCTCCAACGGTTTCTGGAGGTCCGGACTTCTTGCTCAAATCGGAATGGACGCGTCTATGCTGACGGAAGATATCGATTCCTCCATTCGTGTGCTTCTAGCTGGTGGCCGCATCAAGTCGGATCCTGGTCTCATTTCCTCGGAGCTCGCAACTACGACGTTGAAGCAGATTTGGAATCAGCGCATGAGATGGGCGCAGGGGTGGTTCCAGGTGTCGATGCGACATTTCTTCGCCGGCATGACCTGCCGAAACCTCTCCGTGTGGCAACGATTCGGACTCTTCCATCTGTTTGTGTGGCGCGAAATCTACCCATGGCTGTCGCTTCAGATCCTCCCGCTTCTGTGTTTCATCGCGTACAAAATGAAGGGCTTTGGATCCATCAACTGGTTGGATTTCGTGTACCTGGGTACGACCCTCTTCACCTTCTCCTGTGGGCCTGCTCAAATCGTCTTCGCTTATTTCGTCTCTGAGAAATCCATCAAGAAAAGAGCCGCATGGTGGTGGTTTTACTTCTTCTTCGCGACGATTTTCTACACGGAGTTCAAGAACGTGATCGCGCGGGTGGCGCACATAAAGGAGTTCATGCAGGAGAAAGCGTGGATGGTTACGCCTCGGACAGTCTCGCAGCAAAGACAAGCGTTCAAGGAGTTAAGAAAAGGGAATGGAGGCATGGAGGTTGTCGTGCGATGAGTGTGCGCATCGCGATGCGTTGTGACGGCGTGCCTTCACAGTGTATCGCGGTTCGTCCTACCTCTACATTGTTATTCGCCCTGGCTTGTCTCAGAATGTGACATGTCAGGGGCTACTTCTCATGGGGGATGCTCTCGCAAGAGGCGCTCGACAATAACACAGCACCGCCATTCCAAAGGGCATTTCCTAACGTGGTGGCAGCACACTCCCGTGTCACATCCTAAGACCCATCTGAGGAAAATCATGCCTACTGTCTTGCGTATCCACTCCCTTGTGGTGTGAGATAGTTGTTTGTGCATTAGTGTATCTTAAAGAAAGTATTCAATTCATTTCTAGACTTAGTCCAACGAATCCATGCCTCCGCGGTTCGAGAGTAATAATCTCCTGCGTAATAGGCGGGTGGAATCGCTTGTGGGTGTCGAGCTTCCCTGGAGAATTTGGACTGGTCCAGTAAGTCTGGACCAGTTTCACATTCCCTCCCAAGGCAGCAGGTGTTCGCTTGGTTTGATTTGAGGCCACGTAAACTGGATCGCAGATGCGGCGTGTAACAGTGCGCAGGTGTTTCTGAAAGCTGGATCTGATACAAACGACAAACACCGAGCCTACTTCCGCAGGGCCACATCAGGTGGGCTTTGGTGGCCTGTTGAGCCGCGCACTGTTACGAACGCTTTAGGGTCCCACCACAGGCTAGATCTTGCGCGTAAATGATGGCTGCGGCGGGAAGTAAATATGTTTTCCGTGCCCTTGACTGGATGCCCGATTCTGGCCTGGATAAGATCCAGAAATTGACACAACTACTGTAACACATCACGAAACATGCGTGCGAAACACGCAACGTAACAAGCTCTACAGATGAACACAAATTACTGTATTGAATTTTCAAGTTAGAAAACATGTTAGAAACTCAGAAACCTGTCTTTATTCTTGTTCTCTGCGAAAATGGAAAAGACTGATGAGAGATTTCATACACTAATTATTCAATAAACATGCCATTGAAGATCAGAATCTAATAAGAGACCATCACCACACTCAACATCGAGCATGCTCAAGAACCACAGCAACTGCATAATGCAGGACAATGAGCAGAAGCTCGAAGGGAGAGGGCCAACGGAACTAGGGATGAAAATGTGCGATAGGCAAGGAAAGGATTGTGTATAAATATTTGTATGCATAAATAGTCTCTTGGCCTGATGCAGGTGAGCAGCTGTAGATGTCAAACCGTGAGTGAGTGTAATGCACATGGGATGAGGCATGTTAGCACGTGCGTGCGGCGCAGTGTGTGTTAGCAGTGCCCAGTCAAAAGAGCCCACGAGGAGTGGACCCAGTCTTGGCAGAGTTTGTCCTTCGGGTTAGCGGGGCTCGCTTGGATGGCGAGCCAGAAAACAGCCCCCTTCTCACACCTGCTCCCCCACATGCTCCCCCGATCCCCCCCTCGCCACCATACGGCTGTCCACCACTCCCGATCCCTCTACCTCCTCGTCCCCCAGCTGGCCCTGCCTGCATTGCATTACTCTCATAGAGCCCCAGAGCCACAGCAGCAGCCAGTGCACGGTCCTGCACCAACTCTCCTTCTGTCCCACCAGGGCAAACCCCACTAGTGATATCACCGTTAACCCCGCTACTCTGGTGACCACCACCAGCAGAGCTGTTGCCATGGTTGCTTCCGCTGGCGTTGCTGCCGCCGCCCCTGCTGATGCTCCTAAAGAGGCTCTTCACAGAAGCGCGGGCGATGGCAGAGGCAGCAGCGAAGGGGGAGGCAGAGGAGGAGAAGGGGCTGCTGCTGTTTGCGGCTTGCGTTGGCGTGCCAATACTGGTGGGGGTGGCACTGGAGAGCGGGGACGATGGAACAGCGCTAGTGGGAGTGGTGTTGGCGGTGGTTGGATTCGCAAGGGTGGGATTAGCAGCAGCAACAGAGCTGTTGGGAGGAGTGGAGGTGAACAATGGCTGGCCTGCAGTGATGGACCCAAAGGCTCCAGGACCGAAATACGGGTTGGTCCCATGGGAAAAGAGAGACGCAGAGCCATCAGCGGCAGCTGGAGCTGCTGCTGCTGCAGCAGCAGCAGAGTTGCTGGTTTTGGTGCCGAAGCTGCCGGCACCTACAATAGTGCTTCCATGGAATGGCAGGGAGAAGTTGAAACGCGGAGCAGTGGTGGCAGCAGATGCAGTGGTGCTAGGCTTGGTGGGAGAAGTGCTCAGGGCAGAGAAAGCAGCCATGATTGCGGAAAGCCCAGTGGAAGCAGGTGCAGCTGCAGCTGTCACACCTGCCTTCACACCAGCAGCAGCACCGCCTGCTGCAGCAGCAGCACCAGCAGCAGCCGCCGCCGCCGCTGCTGTAGTGGCAGTACCAGGAGCAGCAGCAGCAGGAAGGACTTCTCCCGTCGAGGAATAGATTGCCTTAGGCACGGGAGCGCCGAACCTGTCGATCTGCACCGCAGGGGAGAGACGGGCTCGGAAAGCAGAGATGGACCCAACCGAACCAGCGGGGCATGAATCCCCTGCTGCAGCGGCGGCGGCAGCAGCAGCCTCAGCAGCTGCAGCAGCCACTGCTGACATTCCAGCGGCCTTCTCTCCTCGCCCTGCTCGCTCGTCCTTCCCTCCACCGCTCACGACCTGAGCCTTGCGCAGCTTCCTCTTGGGCGAAAACAGGTAGAACGGGCTGCTGAGAGCCGAGGGGCGGGAGCGCTGTGATGTGATGGGGCCCAGGCTGGTGCCTCCTCCTCCCCCTCTGATAGCCTTGGGTGCAGGGGCGAGGGACGGAGGCACAGAGACGCACACAGCAGACGCTGATACTGCTGCTGCAGACGCCGCCAGTGCCGCAGCTGACGCAGCAGCAGCAGAGGGAGCAAGAGGCGCAGCAGCAGCAGAGGCGGCGTTGCTGGTGGAATGGGCCTGGCCAAACAGGCACCTCCGGCGACCGGGGCTGTGACCCTCTCGGCTGCCCAGCAAGCTCTTCCCAGCAGATCCCAATCCCCGGCTGCCTTCCACCATCATCGCATCCTGTGCGGCTGCTCCTCCTGGATTGTTATTGTACCCTCCGTCTCCCAGGTCTGCTGTTCCCAGCCGGAAAGCCCCTGGCGCTCCGATGGAGAAGAGGCCGATAGGGGGGCTGCCTACTGCTGCTGCTGCTGCTGCTCCAACACCAGGACCCGCACCAGCAGAAGCAGGAGCAAGCGGTGACTGTGCCAGAACTGAGGACTGTTGCAATTGAGCCACTCCTGGCGCAGCTGCTGTGCTTGTACTGGGTGCGCTTCTACCGAAGATGACAAAGGTTCCAGGCGGGAGGGCAGTGGGAGAGCTTGAACCGGCTGGGCTGGACAGACCGGGGAGAGGAGAGGGCGACCCGGGAGAGGGAACGGCGGCGGCCGTAGCAAGGGCAGCAGGTGCAGCTGTAGCGACGGCGGCTGCAAATGGAGAATCGGTAGGAGGTGCTGTGCTGTCGTAAGGAGAAGGGGCACGGGCGGTGGGGGCAGCGGAAGCAGCGGCGGCAGGGGCGGTGGGCGTGTGGGACAGGCTGAATGCAGAGGTAGGGAGCACGGAGAGAGGAGGGAGAGGGGCGAGGAAAGGCGTGGGGCAAGAGGAAGCAGACGAGGCGAAGGAAGGAGCGGGAGAGGCGGCAGGAGAGGGAGCCAGGAATGCAGAGGAAGAGGAGGGGTTGGGGCAGGTGAAATCCGGTGCTGGAAGCAGGGGTGGGGTGGGGTTGGAGTGGTGGAAAGCGGAGGAGTGGTTGAAAGGGGGAGTGGGGGCGAAGGCAGCGAAGGCTGGGTCTTGGCCTGGTAAGCGAGGGTAGAGAGGGGACTGCCCGTGCATGTAGCTGTGGGCAAAGCCTCGCCCGTGCGCATGTGTGGGGGGGAACTGACTGAATTCCTGCATCTGCACCTGCTGCTGCTGTTGCTCCAGTCGCCGTTGCTGCTGCTCCTGTTGCTGCTGCTGGTGCTGCCACGACAGTGCCTCGTTCACCTGCGCATGCGACTGGAAGCGCCCATTCTCAGGCGCACGCGAAGGCGCAAGCCCAAATCCATGCCCTTGCGCCTGCTCATTCCCATCCATGCAAGCAGCGTCATCAGGTCCCTCTTTCATAGGCGAATGCTCCGCGCTGCTGCTGCCGCCCTGCCCCTTGCCACCCGCACCGGCATCAGCACAACCAGCAGAACCAGCAGCAGCAGCAGTGGTGGTGGGAGCAGCGACAGCAGCACCATCACTCATCTCCACATCCGTATCCATGTCCACGCGCGCACATGCGTCCATGACGCCAGCGCCCCGCGCACACGCGTCCATGTCCGCGCGCGTGCATACATCCATGTGTACCTCCTGTGTCACCGTCGCCGCCGCAGGTGCCGCAACGGGACAGGCAGCAGCAGCAGCAACAGCGGCCGCAGCAGGAGGAGCAATTGCGAGAGTGGTAGCTGGTACTGGGGACGGAGAGGGAGCTCCAGCAGCAGCGGCTGCGCAGGGAGCGAAAGCGGTGGAGGCGGGAGCAGCTGCAGCAGCTACAGCAGCGCGAGTCTGTGTGGCAGGAGGTGCCGAAGCGACAGGAGCGGACGCCATAGTTGCTGCAGCCGGTGCTGCTGCTGCTGGAGCTGCCGCTGCTGATACTGCTACTGCACTGTTTGCCACTTTCCCAACTATGCCTGCAGCTGCCGCTGCTGTGGACGCTGCCACTCCCCCCACCACCCCACCTCCCTTCGCCGTTTCCACGCTTTTCTCCCCCCCTCCGCGCACCCCCACTGCGCCGTCGAGCCTCCGCGCGGTGGATGGCGGAAAGTGCAGGCTGCCGGGGGGAAATGCGGAGGACGCGGGCCTGCGCCTGTGCTGCGGGGCGCCCGCTTCGCGCAGCGTCGGCGGAAGGGAGAGAGAAGGCAGCTGCGGAGGGCAGTGGCGGAGGATCCACGGGTGCGCCAGCGCGGCTTCCGCGGTCGCGCGGCGCGGCGGATCTATCGTCAGCAACCAACGGATCAGATCCTTCGCTTCGTCCGAGATCGACGGCCACGGATCGCTGCGGTAATCCGGGCGGCCGCGGAGAATTCGCACAAAGAGCTCCTCGTCCGTCGTGCCCCAAAACGGCATAAAACCGGAGAGCGCAGTATAGAGTATAACGCCCAGACCCCACATATCCACCTGCACGCCGTACGGCTTCCGACATACCACCTCAGGCGCCATATACACAGAGCTGCCGTGCATTCCCACGGCCTGCTGCCCCGATTTCAGCGGAACCGCCAGCCCGAAATCCGCCAGCTTCACGTGGATCTCCGCCCACCCGTTCTCCGCGCCGAACTCCGCGCCGAATCCCCCGCCGCCGCCGCCGCCGCCGCCGCTGCGGGCGCCCCAGGCCCCACTGGCGTCGGTGTCGTCCGCGTGGTTGCCTCGCGTCGCGCCGTGGCTGCTGGTGGCGGTGCTGGCGCTGGCGGTGGTGGTTGCGCCGGTGGCGGAGTCGAGGAAACTGCTCCGCGTGCTGAACAGACTGCTCGTCGCCGTGCTGCTCGGGGTACTCGGCGGGCCGTCTCCGCCGTCTCCACCCGCCGCGCCGGCCGCGCCCGCCGCCGTCGACGCCTTAACCGCTTCCGCAAAGTTTTGCCCGGCGGGTTTCCCATCCGCACCGTCGGCGGTGGCGGAGGCGGAAGCGCGGTTGGGGAGAGGCGCTGCGCGCACAAGGAGGATGTTTTCGGGCTTCACGTCGCGATGGAGTATGCCGTTGCGGTGACAGTGACTCAACGCGCGGAGGATTTGGCTGCAAGACGGGAAGGGGGGACGAGGGGAGATGAGGGGATATGAGGGGTGTCGAGGGAAAAAATGGGTAAGTGAGGGGAATTCGCGACAACGGGATTGGCGGCGGGGAAGTGGCGGAAAGGACGAGGGGGGTGGGCGCATCGGAAAAATCTTTCTAGAACGCGCGAAGGGTTACCCGCGCCAAAACACACATCTTCCGCGATTAACTGAGAAAAAACCCCGTTTCCCTCATATCCCACCCTCCTAAAACCTTTCCACACCCACTCCGCCCTCCGCGCACGTACCTGGCGATGCGTGCGGCGAGCGGCTCGGGGAGCGTGACGGCGGCGGTGAGGAAGTCGTAGAGGTCGCCGCCGGTGCAGAGCTCCATGACGAGGTGCACGGCGCGCGCGTCCTCGTACACGCCCAGCAGCTGCACCACGTGCGCGTGCCCGTGCAGCCGCTTCATCGCCGTCACCTCCATGCGCACCTCGTCCGCCAGGTCGCGCCGCTGCGGGGGGGAAGGGCGGGGGACGGGGGGAAAGGGGGAGGGGGAGGAGAGGAGGGGTTGGTAGGGGGAGGGGAGAGGGGATGGTGTGAGTCAGGAGCGATGGTTAGGAAACGGAAACGCAGTAGGGTTTAGAATGACGAGGCAGTCAGTGGAGGCGAAGGGGGAGAGGGAGGATTCGCGGTGAGAGTGGGGAGGGAGGGGACGTAGACCATGATACAGGAAAGATGGAGAAGGGATGCGGTGGAGCGAACGACGCGGCGAACGACGCGGCGAGCGGGAGCGAGAGAAGGAGACGGAATTGGGGCAGGAGCACATTAGCAGGGGCCGTCCGTACCTGCAGCTTCGACTTGGGAATGCTCTTGCACGCCGCCACCGGCCGTCCCGTGAGCGGATCCAAGCACTCGCGCACGACGCCCCCTCCGCCATTCCCCAGCTCCTTCCCCAGCGCGTACGCGCGCCGCACATCCCCCCGCCCCGTGCGCGGAAACACCGTGAACGCCCCCGACGAGCTCCCCGGCTCCGCCGCCGCGATGCCAACGGGAGCTCCGGGTCCCGGCTCCCGAAACCCCGCCGCTGTTCCCGCCGATGTTCCGCCCGCGGCCGCTGCGGTTGCCGCGTCCCCCCTTCCCGTCCTTAAGGTTCCCGCGCTCCCTTGCGCGGGCGCTGCGTTAGTCGCGGCGGCCGTCACTGCGCTCGGCTGTGCCAGGTGCGGAGGCTGCGCCACGTTTACGCCAATGCTTCGCGCGGTTGTTGGCTCTGACTGGGGTTCGTTCAACGCATGTCCGGCAGACCCCTGAGCTGAATTCACCGCTTTTCCCGGCGTGGATACACCGGCGGAGGTTCCGCCAGTAGTCGTTGCATCAGCAGCCGCAGCTGCAGTTTTCCCGGCTGCAGATGCAGTTTTGCCAGTGCCGGCAGTCTTGCCGCTACCTGTCGCCTTAGCAGTCGGAACCGCAGCGTTCGGTACTCCCCGCCCAAAAGCAACTCGCGGCGCGTCCCCTCCAGCGGCTAATCGTCCCCGGCCGGTGTGATCCCTCCCGCCCGCCCTCCCCCCTCCCGTCCTTGCAATCCCGCCGCGTCCTGGCGCTCTGCTTGAAGGTCCTGCAGCTGCCCCAGACACCCCGCTCCTGAAAACCCCAGGGGAAGGCCGTATCGTAGGAGACGCCGCTGGCGGCTTGACTGGGGACGGCTTTCCGGTCTTCGGCGCGACCGTCGTGGTTGTTGCTGTGGGGAGTGGAGTGCCGGCGGGGGATGTAGCGGGGACTGCTGCTGCGGACGGTGGTGCTCCGGCGGTTGAGCGGTTGTCTTCTCGCGCCGTGAAGGTGAACGCGGGTAGTTCCCCGCGTGACGGCATGGTGGATAGAGTCGAGATTCAAACTTCAAGAGGACCGAATTTGCGTGTTCGCGGAGAATCGCTTTAGATCCGCGGTCAGTGGATCATGCAGAGACGACGATACGATAACTGCACAAGGGAGAATTGCACGGAGTATGGCGATTGCATCTACTAGCTGGTCGGTTTCGCATAATGAGACTGTCTAGTGGCGTGCAGCAACTGCTACGGCGAGGGCTACGAGAGAAGAAAAGATCTGCAGATATGAACGTCGAACCGAAATTGCTCGGGCAGTAGAGACAGGAAGATCACAGGTGGTTTTTGCGTGTAACCCGAGCGAGGCCGTCGAGTGTGAGAGGCAGTCCAGCTCACAGTCACACAGCTAACTCTAGTCTAGCAGCCCTCCAACTGCGAGAGCAGCGGGAGGCAGAATGCCTTGGACGGGCTGAAGAGCTAGCAACATGCGACGCAGGACCTTGCTACTTAGGGATCCAGCAGCATCTAAGTCACCCGCAATTTGCGCGCGATCTCTCCCAAAAAGAGAGCTGCATTGAGGCAATGTGAGGTCGGGGTTGAGTGGGAGCTGAGACCATTCGCGGGTTGCGCAAGGGCCGATTGGGTCGACTGGGCTGTAATGGTTTGTGTGGGGCTCGGATGGGTTGCACAGCATATCATCTTCCGATGTCTGCATGCCCTCGGGGAAGATGAGAAGGTGGATGATGTGTAGCTCGTTGATGCTTGCTGGGTAACAGCTCACAGCCGTCAGATTAGAGAAGCAGTTGTTGGCCCTCGCATCATGGTCACGACGATGGATTCGGATGACGGGAATTACGCGCAGCTAGTGGTTGTGAGAGTGCGGAAGGAGGGGAAGGGGCACTTCCACTCGCCAGAACTTTTGCGATCAGAAAGAGTCCGTTCAAATCAAACAAGCAATTTGAATGTGCAGGGTCGTTTACCTTAGGAACAGTAAGGGCTGGGCGGAAAAAAACCTCCCGCCAACATTCAAAGATGCTGACCTGGCGATAAGAACATCGTTCCATTGAACCATTTCAGGAGTCCAATGCATCGCCCAATCGGTTCTGTAGTTTCCAAAATAACAAATAAGCTGGGGTAAAAAGGAAAGTAAATCACTTCCGGCCCACATCAGAATCGGAGAAACCAATCTCGGGACCCTGAACCACAAGAGACCAATAATTTTCCGCTGCCCTGCAAAGCGCCGAAAAGTGGGGGGAACGTAGGGGGAAGAACAGTTCTCGCTCCTCGCGCCGCCGCCACCACACCTCTCTGTAGCTGGCATCTCCAATCCCCGACCCCACCCGAAGGATTCAGAATTTTGTCAGCTGTACAGCCAATCAGTGCTTCGAGGGGACTGCCCTGACTACGCGTCGCTAATGTTCAGAAAGCTTCGAAACTTGATTTGTCCATTTTCTGTCACAGTGCTGGTTACCATTTGGAATTCGCTAATAGCGAAATGCGCCGTTGAAAAAGAAACAGTAAAACATATTTTGCCCTTTACAATATTCATCACGTGTTCGGCGGGAACAAGGCTCAACCTATTAGCATATACGCTCTAAATACTAATGTTTTAACTCTGATCAGGTCCAGCAATTACTCTAAATTCAAACCATGACACATGAAGTTGCTTAGAGCAGTCAAAACCTCATTAAAATGGAGACTTGAACCACGAAGGCATATCAAAAGCCAAGTATTTGAACAGGGTAGCTTGCTTCAGCAAGAGGCACATGAAAGCGGAAAATAACACACTGGCTAGAACTAGTACCAGTAGGATTGCTAACAACGTTAGTTGGTTGATGAGATATGAGCAAGAACATACTCCATACCTCCATCATCAAGCTTAGCTTTAACATCTTCTAAAACCCTGCCACTGCCCTCACTAATTAAGCTGCGTGCGCTATTTGCTACATCACTAACATCAGCTGCAGCAGCTTCACTTCTGCTACTCTGCATCTGCTTGGAGTAATCCTGGACCTCCATATGTGTTGTTACTTCAGCCATGCCACTTTCTTCAGCTTTGGAAGAACCCTCCCCACTCACCCAAGCAATGAAATCCGAAACATCCACTTCTGCTTTAGGACCTGCAGACTCTATGGTTCCTGAACTTGAAGCGCTCAAGTCTCCCACATATTCACTGGCTTGATTGGGCTCCACAGACGAAACCACTTCTTCAGGCTGCTCAACATGATGATGGACAACAAAGGCCATGGCACGTCGCCCAGAATACACAAAGGAGAACCAACAACACCTGACGAGCAGAGCAAATACGTTGACAGAGATATGGATGAACAGACCCACCTTTGAGTCCGTAAGAAGCGTCTCCAAAATCTCTGAAATGTCACGATGCTCATCACCGCCACTCTCGTGGAGCGACATGTCTCCTATCGGTTGCTCAGGAACATACAGGTAAGTTCAGCTGAAGACGGCTTCACCTCAATCAGAAGGCCGTAAAGCAATCGGGTCGTAAAGCAATTCAGGTCGTAAAACAATCGGAGAAAGATATACGTCAGCGTCGCTCATTCGTCGGTACATGATGCTGGAGACCAAACTGCTACTGGTCAGACCCAGGGCTTCACGAGAGAGCTAATATGTCGCGATTCAGGAAAACTTGTTGCTCAAGGGACAACCCTAAAGATTACAACTTGTACGCAACAATGAATGACGCAACCAAGCACTTCGACCCCATGTGCTTGCATGTACGCCATACATATCGTTGGGCTGTCCACGTGTCCCTGGGAATGTCGGCCTGGACGGTAAAGATGGAGGCGCCGCTTCGCGCTGTGAAAATCAGGGTGGGGGGTTGGGTAGGGAAATTTGGGTTGTGCGAAAACTAAGGGGTGCGAGATTGTTCGACGAAAGTAGAGGTGGCGAATTGTTGGACGACGAAACACCACGACAAAACGAGGGTACTGGGGGACTTCCTCAAGGCGGAGCGCCTCCACTGGTTACCCGGTTTCAAGCGTTTATATCTGGTTGAGAAACAAGAGATTTGAGATGCGGGCTTGGTTCATATGAGGCACTAACGCGCTGTGATGAAGGGGAGGCCATTCGCTTCGACCATGCTCAAATAATCTGCAAAGCGTTCCGCCCTGCCAAAGAACGGGTTTGGACTTGCTACACCACACGGTGCTACGTCTGAACGGGTTCAGACTTTCAGCCATGTCCCCAGCGCATCACGATACTTACTCAACTCCATGGCGCGAGCTCCACAGCATTGAGAGACCAATAAGAAAGCATTACCATGGAGTATAATAACACTGGGGAAATGGGACCAGCCGTTCCCTGATATACCAAACGCTATTAGCAGGCAATTAGTTACACCTAGGCACACCAAGTTCCCTGATATATTCGCTACGACGGTATGCATACAGGCATTCCTTGGTACAGGCTTTGGGTTCGGCACATCCATCCTCGATTCAGCTCAGCAACGAGAGGGTACTGGCGCTTGAATTGCACAACGACGAGAGACGCACAGCTGTCGCCTGCTTGCACCGTGTACTTGCGGTTTGGCACCTTTTTGGACCGTGAGGGACCGCACGCCACCGCTCCCAATGGCTCCCCGGCAACGCATACCTGTAGTGAAGGTGAATGATGGGTGGATTGGGTTGGGTTGGGCTTGGGGCATTGCTCATACAACTCATGCGCCTGCGCACACACTCACACTCACACACACACACACGCACGCACGCACGCACGCACGCACGCACGCACGCACGCACGCACGCACGCACGCACGCACGCACGCACTCACGCACGCACGCACGCACGCACGCACGCACGCGCGCGCGCGCGCGCACACGCACCCACACCACATCCACACCCCCCACCTATCCTCTCCCCCACTGAACCACACACACAGAATCACCCAGATACACACCCACACCCACAGCCACACGGCCATCCACCACCCACCCACCCACCCACACTCCATCTCGCGCGCACCTCTTGTCCAGCGAGCCCATTGATATTGTCGCAGAGCAAGCCGGGGTTTTCGAGTCGACTCTATAACCAACTGATCACATACCCATCCACACCCACATCCACACGCCCACCCACCCACCCACACTCCATCACGCGCGCACCTCTTGTCCAGCGAACCCGTTGATATTGTCGCAGAGCAAGCCGGGGTTGAAGCGGTAGAGTGAGCGCCACGTGAGGTCGTAGGTGGAGCGGATGGAGCTGCAGGTGGACGTGGCCGTGATATCCTGGTACTGCGTGCACAGCACGTAGTTGCTTGAGCCCTTCTCAAAGTCACTCCACTCCACGCACAGCTGGGGAGTGCGGCAAGGGAATGGTTGTGTGGCCGGCCAGGGAAGGGTGGGCGGGAGTGGTGGGTGGACGGGCACTGAGTTTAAAAGGAAAAGCACATGTTAAAGTTTCTGAACGCAAACGGCTAGATGCAGACGATCGCATACACGGCCAGAGATGCAGGTACATGCACCCACCCACACATGCCGCCCACATGCATGCACACATGTGCACACACACGCAAAGACACAAATGCACAGACTGTGCAGTGCAAGCACCCACGCACCCACGCACGCCGTGCGCACCTGCTGGCCAGGGACCAAGTTGGCACAGTCAAGCCCGGGGTTGATAGCAGCTGCATCGATGGAGAAGCGCGCATTGATGGCGTCACAGTTGCCTGCTGTTGCATCCACCTGCACACGCACACGGCAGGTGTGGAGCAGCATGGGGAGGAACAGCAAGGACTGGGTGGGTGTCCGGCACAGCAAGGCAGCAGGCTTGCGCCACTTTTGGGGATTCTTAAAGATGTGTGTGTGTGTTTGTGCGGTGTGTGCATGTGTGTGTGTGTGTGTGTGTGTGTGTGTGTGTGTGTGTGTGTTTGTGCGGTGTGTGCATGTGTCTGTGTGTGTGTGTGTGTGTGTGTATGTGTGTGTGTGTGTGTGTGCATGTGTGTGTGTGTGTTGTGTGTGTGTGTGTTGTGTGTGTGTGTGTGTGCGTGCGTGCGTGCGTGCGTGCGTGCGCATGTGCATGTGCATGTGTGCATGCGTGTGTGTGGAAGTGCACGTGGGTGTGGCGTTGTTGGCACTTGGCAGAGAGAGCACGGCGAATAGTGGGCGAGAATGGTGAGCGAGGGTGGAAGGTAGCTGATTTAGGGTGTGGGCGGTTGGATGGGTGCGTGAGGTTATGGGTGGAAGGGGGAGTGGGTACACGAGAGAGAGCCAACAGTGGAGGAGGAGGCTGATCACATGGCACAGCAAGGGCTAAAAAGAAGTAGAACCAGAGTGACAGCGCAAGCCGCACACACACTACATGATCACCACCCTCACACTACTCCCACACTACTCTCACACCACACAGCACTACATCCGCACCCCTCCCTGCTGCACTGCTGACTCGTAGGCCGTTGAATGCACAGTACATGCATGCCGCTACGACTGGCTTCTCATGTATTCAGCTGGGCCAGACGACTCATCTGAAAGGCGGGTGCTGAGTTGAGGTGGGCAGGGAAGTGAGGGGCGGAGAAGGAGGTGCATACCTGGGAGATGGGATAGCGCACGGAGCACACGGGCTTGGTGGTTCGCTCCACCTGCACGTATGTGCCTGGTTGGAGGTTGTTGCAGTCCACGTCCTGATGCCATCGCACACACGCACACACACCATGCACACGCACATACACATGCACATACACATGCACGTACACATGCACATACACATGCACAAGCACACGCACACGCACACGCACACACGCACACGCACACGCACACGCACATGAACACAGACTTGCAAACTAGGGCGCAGGCACAGAGAAGGTGCAGAGTCAGACTGAGAAAGTTATCGGATGCGTAGAGAATATACACAGCACAGAACAGCACAGCGCAACACAGCACAGCACAGCACAGCACAGCACAGCACAGCACAGCACAGCACAGCACAGCACAGCACAGCACAGCACAGCACAGCACAGCACAGCACAGCACAGCACAGCGCAGCACAGCGCAGCGCAGCGCAGCGCAGCGCAGCGCAGCGCAGCACAGCACAGCACAGCACAGCACAGCACAGCACAGCGCAGCGCAGCACAGCACAGCACAGCACAGCACAGCACAGCTCAGCTCAGCTCAGCAACAAGGTCGCGGAGATGGCTGCAATGCAACACCACACACACACACTGGCCCTCTCACCGTCCGTGCTCGCACCTCATCCCGTCGCACCTGGTTCCGGAGCGATTTCAATATGCCGCACCTGGTTCTGGGCAAGGAACTCGGTCTCGGAGAGCCCGTGGAAGACGTAGATGTCGTAGCACGTGTCACCCGTCTGCACCTGGTACGAGTTCATTGGTGCGCTGGCGCCGCCTGGTGGGGGAGGAGTGGCCAGGAGGGGGAGAGGATGGGGGAGTTAGGATGGGATGGGGTAAGCGGGTGTGTTGGGGTGGGGTGGGTCAGGCGTAGTCAAGGGCGGCAGGGGTGAGGGGAGGAATGGCGTGAGTGGGATTAGGGTGGAATGGAAGGGATTGGATTGGGCTGACCGCCGCAAGGGCATTCTCATGAGACACCGCAAGCATTGCTCCAGACAGCACTTGCACTTATACACAAAACACATGCCTGCCCACACACAACACAACACTCGCTCCTATACCCAATACCCACCCACCTTTTTCCCCCATCCCCTCAGCCCCCCTCCCCCCTCTCCTTCCCACCCCTCCCTCCACCCAATGTTTTCCCAATCCCCTCCATTCCCTCTCCCCACTCCCCCGTACCCACTCCCTCCTCCCTCCTCCCCATGCCCCTGCCCACGCCACGCGCACTCACTGGGCACGCAGGTGAGGAGGCCTGAGGAGGAGGAGGAGCTGTTTCAGTAGTTGGTGGGGCACGCGAACGTATACAAGCCTCTGCCCATGTGACATGTCCACACACAGCCCCGTGTTTTGAGACACCTCAAAACGCACTCACTGGGCACGCAGGTGAGGAGGCCGGTAGAGGAGGCGGCGCTGGGTTGGTAGTTGGAGGGGCACGTGCACGTGTATGAGCCAGTCCCCGTGTCCACACACAGCCCCGTGCCACATGGGTTACTCGCAAACGCCGAGCACACCTTCTCTGCGGGGTTGGTTGGCATGTAGGGCCGGGACAGGAGAGTGAACCGGGGGGGAGACAGAGGGGGAGACAGAGGGGGAGACAGAGGGGGAGGAAGAGGGGGAAGAGGGGGAGAAGAGGGGGAGAAGAGGGGGAAGAGGGGGAGGAAGAGGGGGAGGAAGAGGGGGAAGAGGGAGAGGGGGAGAAGAGGGGGAGGAAGAGGGGGAGGAAGAGGGGGAGAAGAGGGGGAGAAGAGGGGGAGGAAGAGGGGGAGGAAGAGGGGGAGGAAGAGGGGGAGGAAGAGGGGGAGGAAGAGGGGGAGGAAGAGGGGGAGGAAGAGGGGGAGGAAGAGGGGGAGGAAGAGGGGGAGGAAGAGGGGGAGGAAGAGGGGGAGGAAGAGGGGGAGGAAGAGGGGGAGGAAGAGGGGGAGGAAGAGGGGGAGGAAGAGGGGGAGGAAGAGGGGGAGGAAGAGGGGGAGGAAGAGGGGGAGGAAGAGGGGGAGGAAGAGGGGGAGGAGAGGGGGAGGAAGAGGGGAGGAAGAGGGGGAGGAAGAGGGGAGGAAGAGGGGGAGGAAGAGGGGGAGGAAGAGGGGGAGGAAGAGGGGGAGGAAGAGGGGGAGGAAGAGGGGGAGGAAGAGGGGGAGGAAGAGGGGGAGGAAGAGGGGGAGGGGGGAATACCATGGGGCGCACAGAGTGGAAGGGGCGGGTGAGCGTGTGGGTGGGGGAAGGGGTGGTGGTGCTTGTGAGCTGCCCAGAAGCAGCTGGGGCTCGGGTTGATCTGGACTTTCAAGGTTGCTGCAGATGGGTAGACCCGAGCCTACACTGTAAGCTCACAGCAGGTGTGAAGACTCGGAGGACAGTGTAAGCTTACAATGACACACCAGGGCTTAGAGCACTCACTCTCCAGCCCCACACTCCCCCAGCCCCACACTCCCCCAGCCCCCCCAACACACGTACTGAGAGCGCAGGTGGGTCGACCATCACGGCGAGTGGCGTCGACGAGGGGGTACTCGCAGCGGCACGTGTACACGCCCACAACCGTCTGCGCACACACGCCCCCCCCACACGGCGCCATGGCACACGGGTCCCTTAGGTCGCTCTCTGCTCGCCCGAATGGGGCATAGAGACAGACAGGGCGCGGGGAAGGGAGGGGAGGGGAGGGGAGGGAGGGGAGGGCAGGGAATGCGAATAGTTGAGCTTAGAGCAGGGTGGCAGAGACGTCTCAAACTCGATAGCACGGGTTGCACCTAGTGATAGCAACAGCCCGTGGGCACAGCGCTCACTCCCCTTGTACCTCACCTGCACACATTGCCTGTTCCTGCTCTCCACCCACCATCCACCACCACACCACCATAACAACACACCATACACCATGCAGCACCCAGCACGGAGCAGGGAGCAGGGAGCAGCGCGCACCATGCAGCACGGGGTAGAGCCCGCGCTCGTACGTCATGCCGCAGATGCCCGCAGCCGCGCCCGTCATGGCGATCATCATGTAGCCGTTGGTGCCCCAGCTGGTGCCCCAGCTGTTGCGGATGATGAAGTAGTTCTCCAGCGACGACACGCCCCCGAACACGTACCCCGTCACCAGCACCACGTGGTCCAGCACAGGGGCCGACGGGTCAAAGCACGCGTCGTTCTCGTACACGCCGCTGTCGGCCTGCCGAGCAGAGGGTGCGTGGGAAGAGGGTAGTGAGTGAGGGCGGGCAGAAGAAAAGAGATTGGGTGGAATGTGTGTGCGGCAGCCTCATTGCTGTAGTGCTGTTCATGTGCCGCTGCCCTGGGAGGGAGTGGGGAGGAGGATGCGCCCCCGAAACACATACCCCGTCACCAGCACCACGTGGTCTAGCACGGGAGCCGATGGGTCAAAGCACGCGTCGTTCTCGTACACGCCGCTGTCGGCCTGCCGAGGGCAGTAAGTGCGTGGAAAGAGGTTGGTGAGTGCGTGGGGGACAGGGCAGTGGGTGAGGGAAAAGGTGGACAGAAGGGAAGGGATTGGGTGGGGAATGCGTATGTGCTGACGGCCCGATTGCTGCAGCGCTGTTCATGTGCCGCTGCCATGGGAGCAGGGAGGAGGACGCACCCCCGAACACATACCCTGTCACCAGCACCACCACGTGAGCGAGCAGCAGCGCTGCCGGGTCGAAGCATTGTTCATTTAGCTGCTGCGTATGTCTCTGCTGTGAAGAGGGTGGGTGGCACGAGGAGGGTGGTGAGTGGGCACGCGACACAGGCGTGGGTGGGGGGATTTGAGGATATCGACACAAATCTGGCGGACAGGAGTGGGTGGCATGGCACGTGCGTCCCTTGTTGCCTCCTAGTCTTCGAGGCTAAGGAATTGGGTGGCACACACACACACACACACACACACACAGACACACACACACACACACACACACACAGACACACACAGACACACACACACACACAGACACACACACACACACACACAGACACACACACACACACACACACACACACACACACACACACACACACGCGCGCGCGCGCGCACACACACGCACACGCAAATGGATTCTCAAACCCCCACCAAACCTGCCAAGACCCTTGGCGTGACTCACATGGTACTCCTGGTACTCCTGAAAATCCTGCATGGAAGCATAGAAGGCCACAACCGACTGCTTCATAAAACGTCTCCCAAAACGCCTCAAAAGATTCCCCACCCCTCTCCCTCCCGCTCACCCCCTCCCAACACAACACCCCACGTTGTTGACTCACGTTGTACTCCTGGAAATCCTGCATGGACGCATAGATGGTCACCACCACTGGCTGCTTCATCAGAACCCGCATCAGCCCCACCGCTCCCGGCAGCGGCACCTGCGGGCAGGCAAGGAAGGGGGCAAGGAGAAGGGAGAAGGGAAAGGGGAAAGGGGAAGGGGAAAGGGGAAAAGGGGAAAGGGTGGAAAGGGGAAAAGGGGAAGGGGGAAAGAGGGAAACGCGGAAAGGGGGGAAGTGGGGAAGGGGGAAAAGAGACAGAGAAAAAGATTGAGGGAAAGGGGAAGGGGGGAACAGGTGGCTTGTTTGCAGGATGCAGCGAGGCAGTTACAGCACGCGGCTTAGAGGGAAGCAAGGGCGAAGGCGTTGTCAAGGGTGGGAGGCAGGCCGCAGGAGCCTTACAGTAACTACCTGCTCAATCAAAACGTGTTGATACACGCTGATATCCCCGACCCTGAGACATGTTTTGAGGCGCCTCAAAACAAGGGCGACGGCGTCAAGAAGGGGAGGCGGGAGCCTTACCTGTTTTTTTTGGGATGCTCAGAAAACACACGGGGGCTTACCTGCTCGAACATGTTGATGGACGCTGATATCCCCGAGACAAAGCCCAGCTGGGACAGCCATGTGGACTGGGCGAGCTGCAGACTTCTGAGATGAGACGTCTCAAAGGATGGGATGGGGGCTTTACCTGCTCAAACATGTTGATGGACGCTGATAGCCCCGAAACAAAGCCCAGCGGGGACAGCGATGCCGAGGAGGAGGAGAGGGAGGAACGGGAGGAGAGGGAGGAGAGGGAGGAGGAGGAGGAGGAGGAGGAGGAGGAGGAGGAGGAGGAGGAGGAGGAGGAGGAGCGGGAGGAGAAGGGAGCGGCGGAGGATTGGGACCAAGATGTCGTCGATAGGGATGCCGATACTTCCTGTGGGGGAGAGTGGCAGGGCGGAAATCGAGTTTTGAGACGTCTCAAAAAACGGGAAGCCGTTACGTTACTACCTGTGGGGGAGACTCGCAGGGCGGAAATGGGGAGCAGCGTTGGCAGCAGCACAGGAGGAGGAACTAGGGCGTGGCGGATGATAGGAGCGGAACGGAGGGAGTCGGCGTGTGTGCGTGCGGGATGTGAGGGAGAGGAGGGGGGAGGGGGAAGACTTTTGATTGAGACGTCTTTTGAGGCTTTTGGGACGTCTCAAAAGCTGCCCCTGCCACTGCGAACGCCCAGAATGAGGCTGGTGGGTGCGGAGGGAATTGGGAGAGCGGGATGGGAGGGGGAGGGAGGGAGAGGGGGAAGGTGGGGTGGAGGTACAGATGGGTTGGGAAGGGTGTGAAAGTCGTGAGGGGCGGGTGGAGTGGAGGAAAGTGGAGGGGAGTGAAGTGGAGGGAAGGGAGGTGAGTACTTTTGGAAATGGGACCAGACGTGCAAGTCAAGAAGACTGCGGTACGTGTGTGTGTGAGAAAGAGAGGCTACACACTACAGGCACGCACTCACCGCACCAGCCCTGGTCGCCCGGGTCGCCGAGCAGCTCCGACTGGTGGCCACGACACGACACGACACGACACGACACGACACGACACGACACGACACGACATCAGGCGCCAAGGAAGGACACAAGGGTGGATCCGACGAGGAGGAGGAGGAGGAGGAGGAGGAGGAGGAGGAGGAGGAGGAGGAGGAGGAGGAGGAGGAGGAGGAGGAGGAGGAGGAGGAGGAGGAGGAGGAGGAGGAGACACGTTCCTCTGCGAGAAAACGTTGCAAAAGAGTGCAGAGGACTCACCAACCAGGCACCGACTCGCCCTCCTTGGCTGTGTACAAATACACCGAAACACAGACACACGTCCCTCTCTCCCTCCACATCTGCACCACACTCCCTAACTCGACTCAAAAGGCAATACGCGGAGCAGCAGGCAGAGCAGCAGGCAGAGCAGCAGGCAGGGGACTCACGAGGCACTCGCCCTTCTTCGCTGCGTACGGGTAAACCTCGTTCAGAGTGACGTTCCTCTCCGTCCACATCTGCAGTGCGTCCTGCGGGTACCCCCCCGGCAGCTGCCCGGTGCGCAGTCCAGCACCTGCTGCACTGCCAGCATGGACTTGGGGGGGAAGTAATCCGAGAAGAGCCGAAACGCTCCCTCCACCGCCCCTGCCACTGCGAATGCCCAGCATGAGGCTGGTGGGTGGGGAGGGAGGGAGGGGGTTAGGGAAGAGGGATGGGAGGGCGAGGGAGGGAGGGACTTTTGAGTCGTCTCAAAGGTCGGCCCCTGCCACTGCGAACGCAGGCAGCAGAGGAGCAGGCAGGAGGGTACCCCCCCGGCAGCTGCCCGGTGCGCAGTCCAGCACCTGCTGCACTGCCAGCATGGCCTTTGGCGGGAAGTAATCCGAGAAGAGCCGAAACGCTCCCTCCACCGCCCCTGCCACTGCAAACGCCCAGCATGAGGCTGGTGGGTGGGAAGAGAGGGAGTTGGGAGAGCGGGATGTGAGGGAGAGGAGGGGGGAGGGGGAAGTCTTTCGATTGAGACGTCTTTTGAGGCTTTTGAGACGTCTCAAAAGCCGCCCCTGCCACTGCGAACGCCCAGCATGAGGCTGGTGGGTGGGAAGGGAATTGGGAGAGCGGGATGGGAGGGGGAGGGAGGGAGAGGGGGAAGGTGGGGTGGAGGTGGAGATGGTTTGGGAAGGGTGAAAGTCGTGAGGGGCGGGTGGAGTAGAGGAAAGTGGAGGGGAGTGGAGTGAAGTGGAGGGGAGTGGAGTGAAGTGGAGGGGAGGGGAGTGAAGTGGAGGGGAGGGGAGTGAAGTGGAGGGAAGGGAGGTGAGTACTTTTGGAAATGGGACCAGACGTGCAAGTCAAGAAGACTGCGGTACGTGTGTGTGTGAGAAAGAGAGGCTACACACTACAGGCACGCACTCACCGCACCAGCCCTGGTCGCCCGGGTCGCTGAGCAGCTCCGACTGGTGGCCACGACACGACACGACACGACACGACACGACACGACACGACACGACACGACACGACACGACATGACGCGACACGACACGACACGACACAACATCAGGCTGCCAAGGACACAAGGGTGGATCCGAGACGTCTCAAAGCCAAGCCAACCACATACCACAACACTCACCGCACAACCCCTGACTTTAGAGTCGACTCAAAGGCCACCTGTTGAGACGTCTCAAAACCAACCATCTACCACATCACTCACTCACTCACCGCACAGGCCCTGGTGGCCCGGGTCACTGAGGTACTCCGATCCGAGTGGTCAACATCCGGCGCCAGGGACGTCAGGTAGTCTGGCGCGCCCGTGGCGGCGTCATAGGTGTGCGTGTGCCTGTGCGTTTGCATGTGCGTATGCCTGTGCGTGTGCGTGTGCATGTGTGCATATAGGAGCAAGACCGACCGGAGACAGGCAGGCAGTCACTCACTCACCGCACAGGCCCTGGTCGCCCACGTCACTGAGGTACTCCGAGTGGTCAACATCCGGCGCCAGGGACGTCAGGTAGTCTGGCACGCCCGTGGCGGCGTCATATGTGACCCCCGTGGAGAGGAACGGCGACACGGGGTTGAAGTTGGCGTGCTCCTCCTGCAGCACCTCCGCCTTGGGCGGACTCAGCCCCAGCCTCGGGTCCATGGCTGCTTGGTGCCAGGAGGAAGGAGGACAGAGAGGGGTTTGGAGGGGGGAAGAGGGAGGATTGAAGTTGGCGTGTGCCTCCTCCAGCAGCACCTCCGCCTTGGGCGGACTCAGCCCCAGCCTCGGGTCCATGGCTGCACGTTGTTGTGCGGAGGGTGAGAGGAGAGGAGAGGAGGGGGGGAAGGAAGTAAAGAGAGGGGTTTGGACGGGGAAAAGAGACGGGGTTGGGGTTCGCGTGTGCCTCTTCCAGCACCTCCGCCTTGGGCGGACTCAGCCCCAGCCGGCCGCGGGTCCATGGCTGCGCCGCGTGCGCGGCCCATGGGAGGGGAATGGAGGGGAGGTAAGGGAGAGATTGGAGGGGAAGGGAGGGAGGGGGAAGAAGGGAGGGAGAGGGTATTGGTGGCTCTCCAACAGCACCGTTGAGAAGTTTTGCAGTGTGCTGCGCCCAGCCTAGCCCGACCTAGCGCAGCCTAGCCCAGAGCAGCCCAGAGCGGCGCGTGCTGTTCCTGTGGTAGCAGCCAAGGCACTCACGAGGAGGTTTTGGGGGGCGGTTGTTCTTGCGCTTGCGGCGGCCCAATAACTGGTTGATAAACTCAATGATCTTCTCCAGTGGCGACGATGCTGCTGCTGCTGCTGCTGCTGCTGCGCTCCCACCCCGCGTGCTCGCCTTGCTGCTCTGCACCTGCGCCGCTCCTCCTGCTGCTCCCTTCCCTGCTGCCACTGTCGCCGCTGCCGGGGGCTTAGGAGACGGACGCACTGCAGTGGAGGGCACAGCAGCAGAGCCTCGTACTGTGTCGGGCTGATTGGTGGGTGCATGGCGTGTCTGCTGCTGCTGCTGCTTGAGTGGCGCGTGGCGTGTTGGAGGCTTCTTGCGGCGTGCAGAGGCCTGCTGGCACTCTGAGTACATTCACAGGACGGAAGGCAAAGGGTGACTTTTGAGACGACTCAAAAGTTGGGGCGTGAAGAGGCCTGCTGGCACTCTGAGTACGTTGACAGGGCGGAAGACAAAGGGTGTGCGTGCGGGAGAGTGAGTGAGAGGGATAAAGAGGAAGAGGAGGAGGAGGAGGAGGAGGAGGAGGAGGAGGAGGAGGAGGAGGAGGAGGAGGAGGAGGAGGAGGAGGAGGAGGAGGAGGAGGAGGGAGGTGGGGAAAAGCTGGTGTAGAGAAAACGATGAAACGGGTTCAATACGAGAATGGCATGTACAAAGAGCAAGAGAAAGTGTGCCAGCAAGGATGGCGGGCAACAAGGCCCAGAGATATGAGCAGACCTGAGTAAGAGAAGCAAGCAAGCAAGCAGAGGTGCTTATCTCCTCAACACTTCAAATAAGCAGCTTTGCTTGCTTGATTCTCGTACTCAGCTCAGTCTGACTCAGAGACGACTATCAGTCTACATAGCACCTGCCTCAATGCCTCATTTCCTTGCTGCCGGTCTCACCAACTGAGCCCACCACACCTACTTTTTCCGGTGCATTGTTCGTGAGAGGCGGAGCCGCCCGCAGCGCCAGCACCGCGAGGCGCGCGAGCGGCGGTTCGTCCGCCAGAGGCGTTGCGGGTGCCGCGGGCGTGCTGCGCGGTGGACGGTGCCCCCCGCTGGGTGCTGGTTTGGGTGCTGGTTTGGGTGAGTGCGTGGTTTTGATGCCGCTCGTGGTCGCTGGCGTTGCTGGGCGAGGGAGAGAGGAAGGAGGGAGGGAGGAGAGAGGGATGGAGCAGGGGAGGCGAAGCGCAGGAGAGAGGGTGGGGAGGAATGGGGGCGAAAGGGTGGGCGATGGGGGGGGGGAGGAGCATGTGTAAGGGTGACGTAAGGCATTGCAAATGCTGCAGTGAGGGTTCGAGCTGGACGAAAGCGAAGGAACGTGGGAGAGAGGTAGAGAGGGGAGGAGGGAGGTGAGTTCAAGGGAGAAAGGGAGGATGAGAGAGGCGGGGCGGGTGAGGGGAAGCACTAACCAGGGGGCGACACGTCGGTAGACTCAGCAGTAACGACAGGTAGGAGCGGGGAGGGGAGCAGCTGCAGTGTGAGAAGCAGCAGCAGCAGCGGCAGCAGCAGTAGCAGCGGCAGCGCGGTCCAGGAGTCGCGCTGAAGACGCCGTCGCGCCGCGGCGGGAGGAAGGCGCGGGTTCAAGTTGGCTGAGACACAAGGTCGCGGAGAAAAGTCTAGCTTCGGGAGGAAACGGAACCGCGGCGCGCCCACGCAGCGGCAATCCCTTGCGCCTGCGCCCGCCGCATGCGGCGCGCCGCGTGGGGGACGACTGGCTGGCGGAGCCGCGCGACGCGGGTCACAGCGCGCGGCACGGGAGGTACTAGGGGCGCAGTTTGGCATGGCGGAAGAGCGCGCGGACTCCGCGGAGGGGACACAGCGGGGCGAGCGCCCGACGATGAGGTCCGGGAGATGGGAATTGAAAGGACTCGGTTGAAGAGACGGCGTCTCTGTTTTCACACAGCCCGGGGCCTCAGAGTCGCTTCAGCAACACGCCGCTGGTTCATCCTCTCATGCGACTCGGATTAGGGGAAACGAGGCCGCACCGAAGTCTCCGCCGGACTCAGAAGACAAAATTATGGTTCTAAGAAAGAGAAGAAGAGCAATTAGGGTAGTGACCAGGTTTGGGATGGTAAGAGAGTGCGGTCCGAGCGATGAGCGGGCTGTAGAGATGGATGAAAACAATGGCGAAAGACAGAATCAAGAAGCCGTTTTGTTGGTTGCTTCCTGTTTCTTCTTTTTCTGCTGCTACTATTGCTTTTGATGAAATTTGGATTCTAGACGACTAAACGAAAAGTGACGATAAGACGATGCGACGAAGTATAGTGGCGATAAGGAAGCGTCGCTAGGGGCGAGCCTGCTGCTACCCTACAAGTTCGTGTGTGACGTTTATAAGGGAAGACTACGCTCCAGCAGGAACGCAGTTGCTGGCACTGCGGCCGTCGCGCTGGTGTAATTGGGACTACTGTGCAGTGGTAAGTTGAAGTGTGAAGACGCATCACCGTGACCCTTCTAAGTGTGTCAGATAGGGGTATCTGGAGACACATCACTGTGGGAGTGGGAGTGGGGGTACATAGCACCCGTGCACGGCGGAGTCTGGATTTATTCATCACGCCGAGATGGACGTTTTTGTTGTGTGCGGTGGTATGGGCGAGTGGCAGCAACAAGCCGAATCGGTGCGGAGGGGGTCGCAGCAATTCAAGCGTATGATTCCAAGACAAGGGCAAGAATATTATTGGGAACTTCAGGGGTTTCAACACATACGAAGCGAAGGCGAAGTGCAGGAGAGGTCACGTAGTCACGTTGGAAGGGAATTCCGTGAGGGGAGTACACTCACAACCCAAACCCGAGCAAACTCCCAACACAAACGGAGCACCCTCTCCAAGCTCCACAGAAAATGAAAAAATAGCCGGTCACTGACAGCGTGCGGCGCGGAACGATGGCACGTCGGGTCGGGTGGTGGGGCGCCGGCGCAGCGGATCAGAGTGGGTTTGGGAGGAGTGCTGCGGGGTGGAAGGAAGGGCAGGTTTGAAAAGTGTGCAAATTTTGTTGGGTTGGGCATCCCCTCCCCCCAACCGCACCTCCATCCGTTGAGCCCACAGTCGCTGGGCTCTGGTTTGGAGGTACACGTGTACACTAATGGCAAGCAACATCGCACCACCCCCATGACGAAGAACGAGCCCAGCTGAACCAAACCGACAGGTCTTCTTCTTTCCTGTCGCCATTTGTGTGGGCTTCCCGCCCGCGCGTTGGACTGCTCCATACGGCAAATGGTGTCAGAAGAAGTGCTTGCCGTTAGCAGACGGAAAGGCTGGTTCGGTTGTGGTGCCTTGGGTACGGCATGCCATGCCACCCGACAGATGACGGTTCGTCTCACTCCAACTATCTGATTAAATCCTCTGCGATGCGATATGTGTTTTTTGCCCTGACGAGGTGGCAAAATTCCAGAAGTTCCCGCAAAAGTGGTTCCTCGCAATGGGCCCCCTATTTTCGCCCCGTACGATTATCCGCGAACTGGCAGAAGAGGTATCCGATGAGTTTGACCAAGTGGCTCTGAGGCAGATAACAACCGTGTTGGTTGTCTGCGCTTAGAGATTAGAGTGAAAATGAGGAATGTGCGATACTTGTTGCATCCCACTTTTAGGACGAGGCGTTCAGGGTAGATATGTCAGGGTACGTTTATAGAGTCCGTTTAGTTTTTTAGGCAATCTTGTTTTAGGGTACGTATATTAATCACTGAGGATGCGTGCCTGGTTATCCGCGATATGGTAGAAACACTTACCTCACGTCACGGATGCGAAAGTTCTTAGTAGATTTAGATATCAGAATATCAATTTAATTCTAGATGGGAAGGAACTGTACAACAACGAAGCCTAAAAAGGATAACACTACTTCGCGCTGTTCGTAAATACCTATGTACAGTAATTAGTGTTGATCAGGTGGTTCTCGCCTGCAGCTACTACCGTGATGCTTGAAGAGCGGCTAGGGTTAGGAAAAAGAGACGCGCGGCAGGATCGAAGACGCCGTTGTTGCGGTGAGATACCTCAAATGGTAACCTACAAAATCTTTCCGCGGCGCGCAAGTACTAAAATTGACTGGCTGGGTACCGTCCCGCGGCTCCTTTTGTTTGTAGATTTTCCAGGCTTGAACAGCTACTAGCTTGGTCGGGTCGCTAATTGCGCTCCCAGCTGGATCATAGACCCGTTTCCTATTTCGGGCACGGAGGAAGCTCTGAGCTGAAGGCTGAGCAGGCCGGCCTTGCGAACACGGCTGCTGTGGTTGGCGATTGGAATTGCACTACTGGTAACCATCGTACTCATTGCCGTGCCACAGACGTCGCTGGTGGTGGCGCCTCCCCGGAACGCGCTCCCGTTGCTAGGAGAACGATAATTTGTCGCGCTAACGGCGGCGGCGGAATTCTGACGCGCGCCGGCGACACTGCGCTGGCGCATGAACAGCGCCGCGTTCACCTCCGCATGGCCAGCGGAGGCGGCGCTGAAGGCGGAGCCAGCAGGCAACAGCAGCTCCCAGAACGGCGCTCCGTCACTGTCATCATGATTAGTACTACTACTATTAGCCGTACTGTTACGAAGTCCGTTGTCCAGCGCTACAGCTACTGCACCGCTGCTGTTCGAGGAGCTGCGCTTGCCTGCGCCCCGGCTGAGGTCGAATCCTTGCTGCTGCCGCGCCGCTGTGACTGGCGCGGATTGCTGCTGTCCCTGCTGCAGCTGCTGCTTGCGGATGCCCGTGCTGCTCGGCAGTCGCCGAGTTATTGCCGTTGCGAGGTCTGACAACAACGCTGCATCTACGGGGATGAACCTGGGAGATGTTGGGGGAACGGTTACGGCGGGATTCCCTAGAGACACTCCGCTTTTTCCTGCTGTAGTAGAAGCTTCTACCGCCGCTGTCTTTAAGATCCTGGCCTCTTTAACGCTGGAGTCTGATGCTGTTGGCTTAGTACTAGTCGGGGGGTGAGCTGCGGCCAGGGGTCCTGGGGAAGTGGCGGAGGTAAGGACGGCCTTGCTGGCTGGGAGCAGATTGGCCGCGAGTCTGGCGACGGCGTTGGCTTTAAGCATCATGGACGCCTGCTCGCTGCTGCAGCTGCGGCAGCTGCACCCGAACGTGCTGCCGTCGCTGCTGCTCACGCTGCTCGCGCCGTAGTAGCTGCTGCTCACGGCGCTGCCGCAACTGCTGGACCCGCCGACGTGATCCGCCGCCGCCGTCGCGCCTGCAGCGCGCAGCCTCCGCGGCCTTCCGCTTCCGCTCTCCCCGCCGCCGCCCGTCACGGCCTCCGCGCCTGACTTGCTTCCGCTGCATGCGCCGCACCACGCGTCCCCCGCCTCCGCTTCGCGCTGGTGCATGGGGCAGAGAGCCGCGGGAGCATGCGAGGGGGAGGGGGAGGGGAACGGGGAGGCGGCGGCGGGGGGAGCGGCGGCCCCCCGGCGGCGGGAAGGCGCAAGCCACTTGGAGTTCATGTACTGCGATCGGCGCCAGGGGGGGAGATGGAGGCTCTGGGACGCCACGCACACGCGCATGGCCTCGATTAGCAGCGCAAGCAGCTTGCGCAGCGTGGCGGATGTGCCAACGAAAACTCTGGGGATGGCGGACCAGAGCGCCTGGTACTCGGGGGTTGGGCGGGAGAGTGTGAACTGCGCGCGGAAGGTTATGTCCACTATTACTACCTGCTGCTTTTGGTCCTGCTGTACAGGTGGTTTGTCCTGTGAGTTTGCTTTTCCTGCGCTTGCTGTTTGCTGCTGCTGGTGACGCGGCTGTTGTGGCTTGGTTGGTTGTGGCGCGGGTGACATGGCTCCGCCAGTGGCGGGAGGAACGCCGACCTCCACAAATTCGTACTCGCCTGAGGGGATCCCGCGGGAATACGCCCACTCCGTCACTCGCCGGCACGCGTCGTACCCGCGCTGGTTGAGCAGGTAAGCCACGGTCGCCCGTTGCTCCGCCTCGCGGCAATCCTCGCACTCCGCCGCTCCCGGGTGGGTAGGCGCATCCCACAGGCCCGTCGCTCCTCCCGCGACCGCCGCCGCCGGCGCCACGGCCAGGTTCTGCGCGTCCGTCGCGGCCGCGTCCACATCAGCAGCCAGGCGCGGAAGGAAGTGTTTCAGCGGGTTGGGCGTCTCTCCGATCTTGGGTGATCGGGTTTTCAACGTCTTTCTGTACTCGGCCAGTGTGAGGTCGAACGAAGCGCGCACGTCGGCCCACTCGTCCTGGAAATCCGGCTCTTCGTCGACCGCCGGCTCTGGCGCTAGTTGTGACGGCCGGGCGGCTCGGGCAGCCGCAGCGGAAACGTTTCGGCTGAAGGGTGACCAGGGGGCAGCGGAGGGAATTTTTCGTCCGAGCGTGCCGCCTGCCCAGGGAGGACGGATTGCTGAGGTCCGAATGACGCCAGCAGCCGCTGCTTTCGCGGCTATTTTCGCGAGGCGTCTCTCGCGAAGCTTCTGCATCCCCGACCGCTCTTGCTGCTCCCACTGCATCACCTCTCCTTCCAGCCAGACATCGTCGTTCGCTGTAATAACCATTTCTACTTGCTCCCTAACTTGCGGCTCCGTGTGACTAATATGAAGGCGCTATTTGGAGAAGCTGGGGGACTGACTCGCACTAATTTCCACCGAAAGGCCAGACATCAATATGTTTCGGAAGCGTGGTCTGATCTCGAGGGCTTACTCAATGAGCAGAAGGGAGTTGTGAACGGTGGTTTTAAGGACTTACGCTGGACTAGGGGCTGTTGTGGCTCGAGGACAATCTCTCACGACGAAGATAAAGCTCGGTGCGTGGCTGCTCGCGCTCTATGGAAAAGGCGAAACTGAGCTGGTCCAATTTGCTGGTTCTTGTGAAATGTGAAATGCAAACTGCTACCAACTGCCTGGAATTGACTCTTTCAAATGCTTTCGGTTCTGCCTTTGTTGCTGAAATGGTCGGAGGATGATGACGAGGCCCCAGCCCCGCGGCGCCAAATCCAGCAGTGAACGAGGAGTTGGGTGAAGGGGAGATGAATTTTCGCCTGAAGGGACGGGTCACGACACGCTCCACGGCGGCAGCGACGAACCGCAGCTGGCCGTTGGGTGAGTGGTTGGGCGGTGACGTGCCCAGAGAAGAGATTTGTGGTGGGTTGGGTTGCCGTGACGTTCCGCGAGGGAAGGAAGCTGACTCGGACGGGAACGGATATCGAGGGATCAGGGGGTTCAAGAATCAAGTGGGAGACGAAACGAAGCCAGATGGCTGGAGTCGACGAGCCGTGTGGTATGGGGGTTGGTATGGTGGATTGCGTTTCGTCCGCTGACCAAGGAGTGACTAGCGGCGGCCGTGAATTCGCTGGGAACTCACATGCTCCAACGAACCTGGACTTGCGCCGAGCATTCCTGGAAGTCATGACGCGCTTCGAGAGTCTCGTAGAAGATACGAGACGGAACAGAAGACTTTTGAGATACAATGAACCTGGTTTTGTGTCCGAAAACAATGTACATGCGAAGAAGCCACCGAATTCGTACATACGAACGAACTGTGTCAGGTCAGGTGGAACCCCGTCACATCAACCCTTCCAGCGCAGCGCTGGAAGTGCGGAACTGTGCAGCGCGCAAATTCCACCTGGGACCCTGCACTTGGCGTTCATTCGCGGGAGGGGGATGAAGGTGATTACCAAGCCAGCGTATCAGGGACCATGCGTTGTATTTAGACAATTTCTCTGAGAAGTGGCAACCCCGTGATAGTGAAACTCGGTATGATCCACATCCGCAACCCTAGAATACTGTATCAGGTAACTAGGCAGTGTCAATCACATACAACTATACGCTTCTACTGATAATATATATATTATTTTTTCCTATCTATGATGCCTCCTCAGCACCATTTCTTCCTTGCCCAAACCAGCACGTCGCCCAGATCATTCATGGTTCCTACATATTCACGTCATGTCACAACTCATCTAAACTGCCTCGCCGTCCTCTCCGACCTCTTCCTCCTCTTCTGTAACCTCCTCCGCCCCTTCCTCCAGTTCACCCCGTTCATTACAAGGCCGGCACAACCAGAAACGCAAAAGCGGGGGCAGGGCAGCGAGGACCGTGAGAAGGTGTAAGTGATAATTCCCCCCAGCAGACATTCGCACAGAAATGCCGCCCACAGCCCGACTGTCCATACTCGCACGGACTCGAAGCGAGGGAATGCTGCCGCCACTGCCAGTGTTACTGCTGCTGCTGGTGCTGCTGCTGCCAATCTTCATGCTACCACTGCCCCTGCCGCCACTCCTGTTGCTGCTGTCACCCCTGGCCTTAGACCCATGTTCAATGCTGCTCCTCCTGCTCGCTCCAGCACTGGCCTTGCCCTTACTGCTCCTTCCAGGTACGGCCTGGTCTCCCTTTTGGAAGAGCGCAGCAGCAGGCGGGGCAACGAGTGGCAGCTGTGCCTCCAGCACTGCGCCGAATATGGTGGCGCCCTGCCAGTGCAGCAGCGAGAGGCCTGCTGCTGCCATGGCCCGTGACGACGTGGAGGAGGAGGAAGCAGAGGAGGAGGAGGAGGAGGAGGAGGTGGCAGGGGCGTGCACCTGAGAGATGGCAGGAGTACACAAGAATAGATTGGTACCAAATGAGAGATGGTGAGGGTCAGTAGCGTAAGGTGGGAGGGAAGGGGAGAAGGAAAGGGGATTGGGGAGGGGGAAAGAGGGGAGAAGACAGCTTAACTGATATTGCAAATGTGGTGGCAGGGGCATGCACCTGAGAGTACACAAGAATGGATTGGTACCAAATGAGATATGGTGAGGGTAGTAGCGCAAGGTGGGAGGGAAGGGGATGGGGGAAGGGGGTTAGGGAAGGGGAAAGAGGGGGGAAGACAGCAGAAGTGATATTGCAAATGTGGTACTGCGTGTGAGGACATCTGAAACGGGACATGGCATGGTATGGAGGGAATGGAAGGACACAGGTTGACTCACGCCAAACCACATGCTGTCACTCAACTGCCAACAACTCAGATTCGCAGGTTGGCAAGGCTTTATGAAATGGGAGCAGGAAGCTCTCATGCTTTCCCGGGTCCATTCAAAGGCCTGGCCTGACAAGAAACAACACACAAGGAAGCCCACCTGTAGCCTGCACGTGGCGCCCACTGCCTCCTCCTGCCCCCACCGCACTGCTGCTGCCGACCCACTCACTCGCACACACCGCCCCACAGCCACTCGCGACGACAGCTGGGATGATGGGGAATGAACAATTAGAGGTGATCCGGGGGACAGTGCGTTGAGACAAGTGGATCCAGAAATATGGGATCACTGAACAGGTATGGGATGAGGGGAACGCTGAACAGAGCCCTCATACGGTCTCATAAAGCAGGAAAGGGGAACGCATGAATAACTTGGAAACACACATGTAGTAACACTGAAAGAGGCACTTGATGTCCCATCATCCCAGGTGCAGAAACACAACACCCCCATCCTGACATCACCCATCCCCATCCCCATCCCCATCCCCATCCCCATCCACTGCCTACACGAGAAGCATACCTTAGCGCCTGCTGCAATCCCGTCGCCATAGTCGCTCCCCATGGCCACCGCCACACCAGCCGCCGTCCTGTTGCCTCGGAACAGTGACACTCTCACATCCGACCGCACCGTGCACGTGGCTGCTGCTGCTGCTGCTGAAGCTGCTGCTGCTGCTGCTGCTGCTGCTGCTCCCAACTCCAATGACGCTGCCCCTCCTGCTCCTCGTGCACCAGAAGTGGCGTGCAACGAGGAGGAAGCAGCGCCACCTGAGGCCCTTGTCCCGGATTCCCCTGCTCCTCGCCCTCTAGCTGCGCTTGCCCCATCCGATCCACGCTCAGCTGCTGCTGTGGCCCGAGTAGCCCCTGCACGAACAGCAGCGGCAGCAGCAGCACTCTTTGCTGCATCCATGGGACCTCGGGAAAAGCTTCGCCACAGGGCCTTCAACAGCCCGCCTTCCCTCTCCCTCCCCACTCCTCCTTCTCCGCCTGCTACCCTTGCTATCCCTCCCACCGCCCCTCCTCCTGCGTCCCCCCCTCCCCCTCCCCTCGCCTGCTCTTCTCTCACTCCCCTGCTTTGCCCCCAATCATCATACCCCGAAATGGCCCCGAAACCCTGCAGTCTGGTGCCGCCGCCTCTGCTGATTATCCTCGTCCCCATCCCACCAGCTCCCCCCAATTCCCCTCTCCCCACTCCGCCTCCCCCTCCCCCTCCTCCGGCCAGCATGAGGGCCCAGGCGGGTGTGCGACGCAGGCAGATTTCCAGTCCAGCGGTGGTGACGGGGTTGGCGAGGGAGCGGGGCGCGTGGCGGAGCGATGCAGAGAGATCCGCATCGAGCAGCAAGAGAGCTTTGGAGGAGACGAGCTGGAAGAAAGGGGGGAGGGGTGCAGGAGGGGGGAGATGCAGAGGTGGAGGAGGGAAATGGAGAGTGAAGGAGGGGAATGGAGGGTGGAGGAGGGGAATGGAGGGTGGAGGAGGGGAATGGAGGGTGGAGGAGGGGAATGGAGAGTGGAGAAGGGGAATGGAAGAATGGAGGAAGGGAGTGTAGGAAAGGAGTGGAGGAGTGGAAGAGGGAGCGGAGTGGAGGAATGGATGGAGGAGACGGGATAGGAGGAAACGGGAGATTTGGGGAGGGGGAAGCATGGAAAAAACAAGGAATATGAATTGGGGAAAAAAAAGTGGGCAAGAAGTGGGATATGTTGAATGGGGGACCAAAAAGATGGTAGCACTGTGTGAATTGCGGGGTCTCATTTTGAGGGCGCGGGAAATCCACAACAACGCAAAGTATCATGCAAGGTTTTATGCAGTGGAGAGAAGCAGCAGAGTGAAGATGGGATAAAAGTTGAGAGAGTGCCATTGAGAACTGCACGTGAAAGGGATGAGGGGGGAGGGAGGGGGCTGCAAAGAGGGCAGAAGGCAGGTGGGAAGTGTAAAAGTGCATTCGGTAAGAGAAGTGGAAGAAACAACACAAGAGCCCTGTCCCAGCTTCCATCCTTCCATCCCTCTCTCCCTACGACCCTCCCTCCCTCCATTTGTTCGACTCTCCCTCCCACACTACCTCCCTCCCTCTCCCTGTCTCCCGCCCTCCTATTCCCGACACACTCTCCCCCTCTCCCGTCCATTCCCTTCCCTTCCCTTCCCACACCCTCCCTCACCCCCTACATCCGTACATCTCTCCTACCCGCCATCCCTCCATCCCTCCATCCCTTCCTCCATCCCTTCCTCCATTTCTCCCTCCATCCCTCCCTCCCTCCCTCCCTCCCTCCCACCGCCCTCCTTCCCACCTGTGCAGTGACGGCAGCGGGCAGGCGGGAGGATGCGGCAAGGCAGCGGTCGAGCAGCAGCGCGTTGAAGGGCGGCGCATGCTCCCACACCGGCCAGGGGGGCGGGAGAGACAGCGGGAACACCGCACTCACCTGCCGTAGAGGGGGTGAGGGGGGGCCGACGAGGGAGTGGGTAGAGAGGCGGGAGAGGAGAGGGGAGAGAACGGAGGGGAAAGAGGGGAAAAAGGGAAAAGGGAAAAAGGAGAACGGGGAAATTGGGACAAGGGAAAGGGGGAATGAAGGAAGAGGGGAAAGGGGAAGGGGGGGACATGGGAAAGGTAGGGTGTGAGCAGGAGTGCATAGGAACACCGAATTGAGGGAGGCTGAGTATGGAAATGAGGGATAGGGAGCAACGAAAGGGAGTATGAACGAAATGAGGTCAGGTGGGGGTGAGGGGGATGGGGGGGAGGGGGGAGTGGGGAGTCGAATTTATGCAATGTGAGCAGTGCGAGTGAGAAAAGGAGAAGAGAAAAGGTGCATGGAAACCGCGGGAGAGATTATGCACAGAAAAGAGGAGATGACCAGAGGCAGCACCTACCGGGGGGAGGGAGAAAAAACCTGCTCTCAGCTCTCCAGTCCTCTATCATACTCACCACAACCCCTCACAGACACCCATCATTCTGCCCTCATCGCCACACCCGCCTGTTCCCATCGTACCCACCAGCCCCCATCGCCCCCATGGCACCCACGCACGCATCGCCCCCAGGGCACCCACGCACGCACCTCCCCGCGGCGGGTGACGTGTCTGAAGTGGTGTGCCGGCCAGTCCGAGTGAAAGGACGGAGGCAGCTCCACCTCTGCTGTCGCCACTGCTATTCTCTCCCGCCGCTCCCTCCTCCCATTACCACCACCACCATTACCACTGCCACTGCTGCTGTTGTTGCTCCCCTCTCTCAACCTTGCTCCTCCCACAACTGCCCACCCTTGCTTCACCACCTGCTCTTGCTCCTGCCCCTGCGCTTGCTGCTGCTGAGAATCGCCCCCGCTTGCAGTTGCTGCTGCTGCTGCCCCTCCGCCTCCTGCCCTATGCACCTGCCTTAGCTGTGCTTGCTGCCGCCTCACCCGCCTCTGCTCCTTGCACAACAGCCGCTGGGGAGCCACGAGGAGGGCGGGTGGATGTGGAGAGCGAGGGGGAAGCCGGGGGTGGGGGGTTGGGGGGGTGGGGGGGGTGTTGGTTTTGGGTAGGGTTGAGAACATGGGGTAGGATTCAGAGGGTTGAGACATCCAACAAGGGGTTGGGTGGGCAGGTAATGGGGTTGGAAGGACAGGAAGCAATGGAGATGGGGAGGAAGAGAGGTGCAGTAGAGATCAACACAGCGAGACACCAGGGGAGAGGGACAGCTGGTGCAACATTAGAAGAAGACGACACCACAACCTAGTTCCTTCCAGCACAGATATCCAAGCACACCCGCATACGACTTTTGAGGCTACTTAAAAGTAGCTCCCACCCACACACGCATGCAACCACCCCACCTCACTCTCCAACCCAGCCCCCTTCCCACCAATCCCGCTCCTCTCCGCACCTCTGCACGTCCCTCCCACGCAGCGAGCTCAGCACGATAGCGCCTCATCTGAGCAGCGGACAGCAGCTGCTGCTCATGCGACGACAAGTGGTGGAACGACCCTCCCGCCCAAAATCCCGAACCTTCTCCTGCCCCTCCGCCTCCCCTTCCCCCACCACCTCCTCCACCTCCCCCGCCTCCCCTCCCCCCGCCTCGGGCAGCTCCCCCTTGGACCTTCCCCTTCCCCTTCCCCTTGCCCTTCCCCCTGCCTGCGCGCCCCAGATGCCCCGCGTCATCCTCGTCCCCAGCGCCCCCTCCCCATGCGCGCTCTTCCACAGGAAGCAGCAGGGGGCGCCTGGTGCTCAGCAGAGAGGAGAGCAGGCAAGGGAGCGGTGGCAGCACGGAGGGGGGCGAGGAGGAGGAGGAGGAGGAGGAAGAAGAGTGTGAGGTGCCAATGCAAGGGGTCGTTGTGCTTCCTGCTGAGGCTGCAGGGATGCTGGTGCCAGGTTGTGCGGTGTGTGTGGCGTGCGTGGGTGTGGGTGCCACAGATGCGTGTGCGAGGGACAGGCATTTGCTCGCTGCACACAGCAGCAACAACTGCTCCCGCCACACCATGCTGCTGCTGCTGCTGGTGGTGGTGGTGGTAGTGCTGGATGAACCACCAGCGGTAGGAGCAGGGGTGGTGCTGCTGCTACTCCCCTCGCCAGCCCTCCAGCAATGCACGCCATTCTCAGCGACCACGACAGGATTGCACAGGCGCTGGTCACCAGCAGCCACGCGGATGCACTGCTGCAAGTACTGCGCCCGCCGAGCCACCACCTCTCCCAGCACCGCCTGCTGCGCTCTTGCCACCTGCTGCCGCTCCACCTCCCCTTCCCCATCCCCTTCCCCCTCGCCCTGCCTCTCCCCTTCCCGTTTTCCACCCCGCTCCCCCGGCGCTCTCCCCTGCCGCTGCTGCCTCTGCTCTCTGCGTTTCGCCAGCACCATCTGTCGCGCTTCTGCGGCGGTGGGCGTGGCGGCAGTGGCGTGGGTGAGAACGAGCACCACGCTGCGCCACACGTCACGGCCCAGGGCGGCGCCCACGCGAGACAGCATCTCCAGGTCCTCCAGCGGCTCTCCCTGCCCTGCTTCCCAGTCCAATCGGTCCACTAGCAACACCACGTCCGCTACTGATGATGATGGTGACCCCTGCTGCTCTTGCTGCTGCTGCTGCTGCCTATGGGAGTGGTTTTTGTGCTGGGCTATCTGTTGCAGGTGATGCAGCAGGGGTATGTGCTGCCACCACTGCTTATGCTGCTGGTGATGATGATGGTGATGGTGGTTGTGCTGGTGCAGATGCTGCTGCGGCTTCTGTCGCTGCTGATTCTGCCCTTGCTTGGCCTGCTTCTGCCCCTGACTCCGCTCCTTCTTCTGCTGCTGCTTCACCTGCTGTTGCCCCTGCTGCTGCCCCTGCAGCTCTTGCCGCATTCCCCCCATCTCCCCTCCGCGCCTCTCCTCCGCCAGGAACCGCCTAAGCTGCAGCAGCACGCGCTCATTACCCGCCATGTCCGCCCCTGCAGTGCCCAGCCCTGGGAGCTCCAGCACGCGCACCCCCACCCCACACACCTCGCCCACCACCTCCTGAATCCCTCCCTGCCCAAACCAACCCATCTGCAAACCCACACTGCCCAGCGCACGCTGCAACCAGCTCTGGTGCTGCCTCTCTGCCGCCCCCCCATCCCCCTGCGCCGTCCTCGCGCCATCCCGTCCCTGCTCTCGTCTCTCCTCCACCTTCCCATCCGCACTCCCTTCCCGTCCTTTCCCTCCCTGCCCATGCGCACTCGCACTCCCATGCACATGGTCACGGTCATGCCCGGAATGAGAAGCAGCAGGGGCGCGCAGGCCCAGCAGAGAGCGCACAGTGGCGGATTTCCCCACAGCCCTGCGCCCCAGCACCAGCACAGTCACATGCAGACCCAGCTGCCCACTCCCCATGCTCTCCTCCTCCAACTCCCCCGCCCTCGCCTGTGCATCTTCCAACACCATCTCTCTCACCCTCCTACCCACCATTCCGTCCCCTCCTGCCCCTCCCCCTCCCCCCGCCGCTCCGCCCGCCGTTCCCCTCCCCCCCGCGCCTGCCTCTGCGCCTGCGCGCCCCCTGGCGCTCATTCGCTCCGCCAGCTCCAGCCTGTAGAGGGTCTGCGCCACCAGCGGGTGGGTGCGCGGCTGCTGCAGGCGCATGGCCACGCGCAGCAGCAGCACGCGCAGCCTCTGTAGCGCCTCCGCTTGCACCCTTGCTGCTGCCACTGCTGCTCCCGCTGCTGCTACTACCTCTGCATCGGCCCGCACTGTCGCCGCTGCTGCTGTTGAGTCTGACTTTTCTGCTGCTGCTGGTCCTGCGGATTCTCCGACCCTGCCTCCTTTCTTCCGCCCACCTGCCTCTCTCCAGCCCTTGCGGCTCTCTACCTCCTCCTCCTCCTCCTCCCCTCCACTACTCCCCCTCAAGCACACCGCTCCGCTCTCATCACTGCGCGTCACACCAGCCTCGGCTGCTGCTGCCACGCTCCTCCCTTTTCCGCCGCCCTCGCCACCGTCCCTGGCACCACCTTTTCCCGCTCCTCCCACTCCCTCCCCACTGCGTATCCTCCTATGCCGGCTCAGCCACAGCACGCCCTCCCTCCTTCCCCGCGCTACAACGCTGCGACCCGCAGCACCACTACCACGCACACCACCACCACCACCACCACCACCACCACCACCACGACCAACCGTAACTGCACTTGAATCGTTCGCAGCACCCCTGACGGGCGCCACAGCAAGAGCGAGGGGTCTGCTCCACGCGCCTCTCCACGCCTCCGCGCGCGCGCTGTTAGGAGTGCTGCCACCGCCAGGCGACGCATCACGCGCACCTGCTGCTGCAGCAGCAGTGGCGAGTCGAGGCGTGAGCTTCACAGGAGGCGGCCTGTTCTTGACCCCAGATGCTGGCCCCTTCCCTGCAGTGGCACTGCCACTGGCGCCAGTGGCGGCAGCGGCGGGACCAGCGCCAGCAGCAACAGCAACAACGGTGGCGGAAGCAGCAGTGGGAGTTGGAGCAGCGAAGGAGAAGGAGTCTCCAGCACTGGTGTAGCTGCTGCTGTCGCTGAACCCTTGTGCTGCTGCTGCTGCTGCTGCCGCTCCTCCTCCTGCTCCTGCAAGTGACTCCGGCCCTCCCACTAGCAGCATGGCAGCAGCACTAGCATCCTCAAACGGTTCCAATTCGCCTCCTCCCTCACCCGATTCCTCACCCCCTTCACCCGCATTCGCCACCTCCCCTCCCCTCCTCACAGCCTCCCGTCCCTCCCGCGTTCCCTGCTCGCGCTCTCCGCGCTTTGCGCCCTCGTCCTCGGTCCACCCCAGGTCAGCGTGCAGATGCGCGATCTCCTCCGCGGTGCTGCACTCGCTCCCGCCCTCAGTCGCCCCCGTGCTGTTGGTTACCACCGACCTGCTATTCGCCTCACTCCCGTTCTCGTTCGCCCAGACAGTCATTGACACAGCCCCAGCTGATGAACCCCCTCCTGCTGCTCCTCCTTCTCCTGCTGCTGCCGCTGTTGCTGCCGAGCCAGCTGTTGCTAGCCTAGACGCGCTCTCGTCCCCAGCCATCTGCACGGAAGCGTCATCAACAACAGTCCCCTTCAGGGTTTCCGCCCCTTCCACACTCCCTTCCAGAGAAGTCTCCGTGGGAGTTTCTCTTGCTTTTCCTGCGCCGTCCGCCATGGCTGCTGCAAGCTTATCTCTCTCCGCTCCGCTTTCGCCTCCGCCACCTCTATCACCGCGCGCCTCTCTTCCGCGCACCTTCTCCTGCTCTTTCCGGGTCATCACGTCCGCCACCAGCTGCCACACCTCCGCCTCCGCCACTGGCTGGCCCTCCCCCGCTTCTGCCCGCCCATCCGCTCCGCTGGTCTCCGCGGAGCCCGCGGCTGCCTCATACCCGCGGGAGTTCGCATCCAGATTTCCCCGCCCACCCCCTACAAGCGGAGACCGCGGACCTGCGGACGAGATCCCGGACTCTTCTTCTGATTCCCCGTCTTCCGCGTCTCCCGACACTGCGGGGGGAGCGGAAAAGTCCTCCGCGTCGGAAGTGATCCTCGCGCGCGGAACGGTCAGATCCCCCACGCCCAGCACCCCGCCCGGACCAAACCCGAAACCCGGGAGATCTCCCCCGATCGAACCCTTCCGTTTGCTGCGACCCACTTTCTTTCCCCCATACACCTCCGCGCTAAGCCGGCTGCGCCTGTCGAATTCCCCCGAAGGCCGGCGCGTGCGCCTGCGACCGGTGGAGCTTCCGCCGCCAGTGGTGCTCCGCGTACCGGAGCCCTTGGTGCGCGCTCGTAACCGTTTCAGCCACGTGTCGTCATCCTCTTCGTCGTCGCCCTCGACGCTCAGCGGCGCGTGAATCGACGGCGGCTTCTTCGCGCCGGCGCCGGTAGTTTCCGTGTTCGCGGTGCTTCTGTCATCGTCATCGTCATCGTCACCGTCATCGTCCATGCTTATCGGTGCCCGAATAGACACCCGCTCCTCTTCGCCCTCCTCGTCTTCCTCGTCCTCGTCTCCGTTCCAGTCGTCTACACTCAGCGGAGCGCGGATCGAGATCCGCTCCTCTTCCTCATCGTCGCCGCCGCCGCCAAGAGGAGATCTGCGCGCGCCGGCCTGTTCCCCCCTGCCACTGCGCCGGCGTGAGGGATTCAGCATCCCCCGGCTCCCGCTTCCGCGCGATTCCGCCTCCTCCGCGAATTCATCCTCATCCTCGTAATCATAGTCCACGCTGACAGGCGCGCGGATCGAGATCCGCTCCTCCCGGTCGTCCCCGCTTCCGCCGCTGCCGGACGCGCCGTCGTCGATTTGCTCCGCAATAGCCCGCGGCGCGAAGCGCGAGGGCCCACCCGGATATGCAGGCGCAGCTGCTGTGAATCCTGGGACAACGCGTGGCCCCGGTTGCGCGGCAGCCGCCGCCGCAGCCGCTGCCGCAGCAGCCGCCCTTGCTTCCGCCGTTGCTCTCGACCCTGCCGCCGCCGCCGCTAGCATCGCTTCCGACATTGCTCCCCTCGCCGCCGCCGATGCCGCTGCCGCAGCGGCTGCAGCAGTCGCCGTTTGATGGGTGTGTGACTGTAAAGGACGGTGGTAGCCCGCGGCAATGGCGGGCCCTGGAGCCGCGTCGCGGATCCGAGCGTCGGAGGGGTGTGTCCGGCCGTCATTTGCGTATGGATGGGAGGAAGGATGCGAGGGATGCGAGGTATCGGTGACCTGGCTTGTGCTGGGCGAAGTGAAAGTGGAACCAAAGCCTGAGATGATGTTGTCGTATCCCGGCTGCATTGTTGTCGAATGAGAAGATCTTATATAAGAACTTGCTTAATAGCACTGTAACGTAAATAAATGACGGCATGCATTACACGACAGTGAGTGCTTACTTATAGCTGGAACTAAACACATAAAAAAGCTTCAAGGAGAATAGACGACAGACTATTCAGCTCGCGGTGCTTTAAGTAGGGGAGAGAACGAATAAATAATCGAGAACGACGCTGGACGGAAGTTACTTGTAACTCGTAGTTGGTGCGTGACGAGTAACACGCCATGACCAAAACAATCGATGATGTTATCACATCACCCAGCACAGCACATCCCTCGCCCATTTACACTGGCAACCTTTGTTCAGCAACATCATCATGGAGCAGGAGAGGGTGGATGGAGAACCCTGGGGGCCTCCCCTCACAAATGTTTGAATGGGCCTCGCTTTGATTGGCTCGGATGTCAGTCCGTTCCGCAGTATGGCACCGTTGACACATTACAAAATATCTCATCCCACATCCCTACCAAGCCGTTCACCTACGCTGCGCTTTAGGGCGTGTTTCAGAAGGTGTGATAATCGAACAGTGCGAAGAGCGATCAAAACGACACAACTGCACGGGGGTTTAATATTTTTGCCGTGTTGTGACTCGTGTCCAGCCTAAACTGATCCCTTGATGGGTTCGGTTCCGGGAATGTTTCCTCAAGGACTCGAGTCGACACCCAGTATTGAAACTCATGCTAATCCTCCCCTACGGTACTGGCTCCCAATGGCGCAAGTGATCGCCGTAATTCCGGGTTACGCGGAAACGGCTCTGACAAGCAGGGACAGCAGAAGTGTGTGAACCACACAGCCAACCACTTGCTTGACAGCTAGTTCGGGGATTGGATGAGGTGACCTCAAGTAAACGTCAGCGCTGAGCGCGTACTCCTTGCAGCGTCCCCTTCTACACAATATAACCCTAGGATTTATGCCCAGGGTGACTGTGGTGTGTGGTTTGTGTCTATGACGACACACTTGCCGTAAGCTCTAACCAGGCAATTCTCCATGCAGCACAAGCATGAGCTAAGCTGGAGATGCAACAGTGAACTTTTGGATAACCCAGTTACAAACCCTCAAGGGTGCATTAGTTCCTACTTCACATATTGCTACTTTGAGAAGACAGCATGGTTTGACAGTCTACAAGAAGTACCCTGAATGGAGTATATGTCCAAAGCCTACTCAGCGGCAACAGGCTCAGGCAAGGGGGTGGTCTCAGGCGCATTGGACCGGAAAGAATTGAAGAACTCAGTTTCTGACTCGACGTCCTCGTCAAACGCCAGACTCAATGTCTGCATGCTGAAGCCCGCACCTTGGACCACCTCGACCAGTCCTGACGCGACACCTGTCTCCTGCACTGTGGTTAGCTTGGTAAGCTGGACAGGGAAGTAGCAACCACAAAGACATGGGGGGGTCGAATGGGATACTAAGAGAAGGAAAGAGTGGGAAGTGCACTTGGTCATGCAGACGAGGAGCAATAGAGGAGGGGCAGGGGTAAAGGATGCAGGAGTCATGAGGAGAGGGGGAGGGAGGCTGGTACTAAGAAGCACACCACTGATGGTATATTGCACCAAGCTCTCTAATAACCATACACACAACCACAGCACAACCAGCACACAGTCACGTCACAGCATGCTATCATTTACAGCCTCAATCATTCCTTATGCACACATGGACAGTTCCTCGCTTTTCTCAAACATCCCCAGCCACCCAAGTGTATCAGCACGGGGCCACGGCACGCACGCACCTCCACAGTGGCGCAGCCCTCAAGCACGGTGACCTTCACGTTGTGCACTCCCTCCACAGCCTGCCACCACGCACACACACACCGGGCATGCCATGCCATGCGTCAAGTTAGCACGACAGCGCATGGCATCACAGAAATGACCGAGAATGGGCTGTCTGAAGGTAGGTCAGTGTGAGGGGCCAGTAGAAGCGGGGGAAGATGGAGCAGCGGATGTAACAACAGCAGCAGCAACAGCAGCAGCAGCAGTGCGCGCATGCAACTGGCATTTGAGCAGATAGTGTTGGCAATGCCCTCTCCTGAACATGCGGTTGCTTTCTCTCCTGTGCGTCCACGCTCTGTGGGTTTCTCGCCGAGATGGAAGCCACACGGTAAAGTGTGTCAGTAGCTCAGTTATTCCAGCAGGCCATTCGTTAGCCCCGGCCTCTTCTCTCGCCCCGCCCCTCCCTCTCGTTCCGCCCCTCACTTGTTTCTACACAGGCTAGGCTACTTCCACAATCAACAGCGCGCTCTTCACCGCTCACCTCATACCATCCACACCACGTCACCGCACCAGTCACAAGACAATTAGAACATCCCGAGCGAGTGGTGCCATAGGTAGCAAGACCCTTTCGGCGACACACGCTGGGACTTAAACAGAAGCCTCTGAGATCACTCGTCCGTCGCGCACTCCGTGCTTCATGACGTTCACGGCATCCCCGAGTGCGAGAAGCCTGAGCGATCTCAGAGTACTAGACAGCCCCGGTTTCATGACACACGGACAGACCACAAGCTAGCCTTACGCCTTCGCACGGAGTTAGGCACCAAATTTAAAATCCTACTCCTTCTCTTCCTAGTACTCTTTATCCTACTGCTCCTCCTCTTCTTACTCTTCGTACTCCTTCTCCTGCCTCCCCATCCTACCGTAGCTGCTCTACAGTAAAAAAAAAAAAAAAAAAAAAAAAAAAAAAAGGTTTTTACTCCAGGTAAATCAACTTGATATCTCGACTAGGTCTGGCCAGGCATTCGACGGTTCCCCAAGCCTTACCTCAAGAGCCTTGGTGACCTTCGCGACAGACGGCTCGGGAAGGGAGCCCTCCGCCTGCAGTGGTGACAAGAAAAAAGGAGGAATGCGGAGGAAGAAGCGCAGGCATTGGCCAAGGGCAAGCGGGCAATATCGGGAGGACAGCATGGGACAGAGAGGGAGAGAGAAAGGGAAAAAGAGGGGACTTAGCAACTCCACAGGCGGCCTAGCAATCCAGCATTCAGGCAGCATTGCGACGACATTCTAAACAATGCAGCAGGCATTGTTTCGAATGGATTGTTGCGTGAGGAAGAGCGATAGCGACTTAATGCCTAGCATGAGTAAGTCCAATCTGCACGAAAGTAATACATCCCGCCACATTGACAACTCCACAGCTTCAGGCGCATGGGAGCTGCTAAGGGGGCCGGGGCACAGAAGACGCGCAAGGTTGATCAGAGGAACTACGGAGACCATAGTGGACGGCAACACGTGGGAGGCTTCAAATACGTCTCAGCAGTAGCTTCAGGCAAACGGAAACCCTAGACTATCGGATAAGAACAGCCGTGACGCAAATCCTGTCGGCCCTGGCAGTGCTTGACGAGAGACGCGGTGTTAAGAAACAACAGTTTGTTTCCGCCTATCATGCTCACGAACGTCACGAGCCGTCGCATTTTGTTGCAAGCATCGCATAAGTAGGAGAGCGCACCTTGAAGTACATCACAAGCTCGTCGTTGCCCACATACTCCACCTCCTCCTCTGTCACCGCCACCTCAGCCTCAACTGACACGTCAGCAGCGGCCTCTTCCGCTGCCGCTGCAGTTTGAAACCGCTGCTGCAAGCGGTCGCTGCGGCGGGAGGGGGATGCGCCAACAGCTGCGCATGAGCGGAGAGCGGTTGCGCGGGGGGTGGACGACGCGGAAACTGCGGAGGAAATCTGCGCCGCGGCAAGGGTGGCCGGGCTTGTAACGCGGACAAGGAACGACGTGGTGGCCATTCTCGAAGCACCGCAAGGTCAGGGCGAAGAGGTGATGTGATCTTGAGTACGAGTGTGGTGCGGATTTGGAATAATAGTCCAAGGTCTCTCAAAGGAGCCAGTCGCGAGGGGAAAGGAGAGTGAGGGGTTGGAAGTTCTGGATGGAGAGGTTTAGGGGCTTGAAGTGAGGGATGTGGTCAGTACAGTACGAGACGGTTCCGTACGTTTTGATACGTTTCGCTGCGGTAGGTCAACCATCAAGGTACCAGTTTTTGTGATCGGGACCTTGAGTGGACCGCGTGATGGGTTTGGTTCCTTGAGTGACGCGGCAGCGTGTCGAGGTGTGACCACTGCCACGCATGACACGATGACGGAGGGGGGTTTGCCAACATGGCCAAGCCTCGTTCGAGGGTTCTGGATTTGGTGATGTGGTGGGACCTAGCCTCGTTCGATAATACTTCTTGAAAAATATATAGAAGGTATATTGCCACACTATCAGCATATGGGTATAGAAGTTAAAAGAAGCACAAACACTAGTATGATACTGTACAAGATATATAAAGGCACAGAAACGAATGATACTCAACTGATCAACATCATCAAACATACAGACCCATTACAACCTGCTGGAGCCATCGCAAAGGAGGCATTGCAGGGGGCGTTCCAGAGCTGGTTGCCTAAAGAGGAGGGGGGTGAGGAGAGCGAGCAAGAGAAGGAGCTGGCGGGGAGGAGAGGCGAGGTGTGCCGCTGAGTTTAGCAGGAAGGGAGCCTTCAAGCTTGTTGCATGAGAAGCCTACCGTAGATGGGTCAGCATGTGGGCAAAAGCCAGCAAATGGTGCAGCAAACCCGAGAGCTGGTTGTTTCAAAAGCTGGGACACGCAGCCAAAGGGCTGAGGCATGCAAGAGAGGGGTAGAGGGAAGAGAGAAAGGGGCGAGGAGGTGTATGCGTCAGGATTCCAGCTGCTACAGACCAATACCGTAAGACACAAATGCTTGTCGAGAACAGGAGAGTGTGTTAAGCAGGTCTTCTGGCAGTATGCTGGATCCACGTGATTGCATTGAGGGCACGCAGTGACAAGCAGGAAGAAGCCAGAAAGCCAGTTGTGGGAGGAATGAGCAGTGTAGGGCAACTACTAGTTTCCCTAGAATGGGATATTGTTGTGGCCTGCAAGCTGGTTGTGTGGCAGCACCGGATGGGAAGACAGACTAACTCAGTAATCCTTGGAATGGGGTCGTGATGGGCAAACGATAGTGAAGCTACGTTTCCATCCTGCATAAAGCTGCTCACCATAAAGCTAGTAGCCGTACAAAATCTAGTAACCCTGAGTATTCAAAACAACCATTCATTGAGTGCTAAATATATTACGAAAGTCTGGAACATTTCCTAGATCTACCAATCGTACACGCGAAATCGAAAAGGCATAAACTGCACTACCGCTCACCGACACTTACTGTCAGTTTTAGAACCTGTGACTCAGCTAAGCAATGCGCATGTACGGGTAGGGGGATGTTTGACGCCACTAATGTGAGTGTGTGTCTCTCCTCTCGTGTCTATGGCTCGTGTCGCGGTATCCAGATTACATCGCTGGCTCCGCGTCCTCGCCAAGGTACTCCTGGTCGTCTTCAGCGCAGGCCTCCTGGTACTGCTGGTACTCGCTCACCAGGTCGTTCATGTTGCTCTCCGCCTCAGTGAACTCCATCTCGTCCATGCCCTCGCCCGTGTACCAATGCAAGAAAGCCTTGCGCCGGAACATAGCAGTGAACTGCTCGCTCACACGCTTGAACATCTCCTGGATACTCGTGCTGTTGCCGACGAAGGTGGACGCCATCTTCAGACCGCGGGGAGGAATGTCGCAGACGGAGGACTTCACGTTGTTGGGAATCCATTCAACGAAGTACGACGAGTTTTTGTTCTGCACATTCAGCATCTGCTCGTCAACCTCCTTGGTGCTCATCTTCCCGCGGAACATGGCGGACGCGGTCAGGTAGCGGCCGTGTCTGGGATCAGCGGCGCACATCATGTTCTTCGCATCCCACATCTGCTGGGTCAGCTCAGGGACGGTCAGAGCCCGGTACTGCTGAGAGCCGCGGGACGTGAGGGGAGCGAAGCCGACCATGAAGAAGTGCAGGCGAGGGAAGGGAATGAGGTTGACCGCGAGCTTCCGCAGGTCGGAGTTCAGCTGGCCAGGGAAGCGCAGGCAGCAGGTGACGCCACTCATAGTAGCCGAAATCAAATGGTTGAGGTCACCGACTGCAAGGCAAACAACGAACAACCAACGTCAGAAACCAGCTCGATGGGTTTAAATCACGATGGCATCGAAAATACGTTACTTGATGAGTGGTTAGCAGCAAAATGCACGGGAGCTTACAGCTGGGGTTGGCGAGCTTAAGAGTGCGGAAGCAAATGTCATAGAGCGCCTCGTTGTCCAGGACCATGCACTCGTCCGCATTCTCGACGAGCTGGTGCACGGAGAGAGTGGCGTTGTAAGGCTCCACGACAGTGTCTGACACCTTCGGCGAAGGGAACACCGAGAAGGTCAGCATCATGCGGTCGGGATACTCTTCACGGATCTTAGAAATGAGGAGGGTTCCCATTCCAGATCCCGTGCCACCACCGAGGGAGTGGCACACTTGGAAGCCTGCAAGCAGCGGAAATAAGAAAAATAGATCGTCAGGCACGTCCGAAATAAGATGCTACAGATGATGTAAGATGATGAAGCGAATCGCATAATGAAATCATGGAGTTGATTATATACCTTGTAGGCAATCGCAGTTCTCGGCTTCCTTGCGGACGACATCGAGGACCGAATCGATCAACTCTGCACCCTCAGTGTAGTGGCCCTTAGCCCAATTGTTGCCAGCACCGGATTGTCCGAAAACGAAGTTGTCAGGACGGAAAACCTTGCCGTAAGGTCCAGAGCGGACACTGTCCATCACACCAGGCTCCAAATCCTGGAAGAGAAGAACCATACAGCTCTTAGAACATCTTCCAACAACTAAGCACTCGTGGTGCTAACTCAATCGTAAGCCATTATGATCGTTGAAGTACTGAGGAGGTAACCAGGTTTTACCATGAGGATGGCGCGAGGAACATAGCGTCCACCGCTAGCCTCGTTGTAGTACACATTGACGCGCTCCAACTGCAGCGCGGAGTCTCCCTTGTAGTTACCCAAAGGGTCAATGCCGTGCTCCTCACAGATGACCTCCCAGAACTTCGCACCGATCTGGTTGCCGCACTGGCCACCCTGGATGTGGAGAATTTCCCTCATGTTGACGGTGGAGAAACAAAAGTGGAGGGAAGAGAGCTAATATTACCAGGCTAAGCAAGCAGATGGGAGTAGCTGTGGTGCTGCTGAAGAGCTCTTGCTGGGTCAAATGTGAAAATGAGCTGGCTTTATCAGATTGTGGTATTCCCAGATTTCTCCGGACAGTGCTGTTGGTGAGATTACCCTCCAGGCTTCGGTTTGGCGGGTCCTGGCGGACCCTGACCGAGTCCCGAACCGAAAGAGTTGTGATGACAGAGCGTCACCGCCTGTGATTGGCGGGATTCTTGCAGAGTGGACCTGGTCGGCCTGCAGGGGCGTGATTGCCTTGTCGCACGCACGCGAGTCGCGCGACCCCACGTGGAAACGGAAGCATGCGAAGAACATTTGCGAGACTCACGGTGGCAAAGTGGGCGTGGGCGAAATCTCATGGACTAGTGTGTTTCGCAAATCTGTGCAGCCGTTGGAGTCTGCGACGTTTTTGAACAACGTGGCATGGATATTGCCCTGACGCCTCGGGAGGGCCGGAATTCGAGGGTGGACAGCGCACTTTCCTGATCCTCATCGTAGATCTCAGATTTCTGACCGAGTGTCAGAGTTTCGCGCTTTCAACATGGCGGGAAGTGGGGTTTGCAAAGCCATTCAACCTTCCGATTGGACATAAGCATGAAAGACGTGCCGCTCGTTCAACAGGCTGGTCTTTAGGCCACCGTGGATTGCGTTGGCCGCCTCTCACAAACTTGTCAATCCAATGGTCAGGGACCAGCCAGGTCAGCCATTGGTTTGCTTAAGTCTTGGCTGACGCCCGAAGCCAGACACGCCTAGAGATGACTTCCAAACGGGCAGTATGATTTCGATGCAGAACACACTGATTATAACTCAATAACAATTTCGTCATATATTTTATAAAACAAGTATTCAAAATGAAGTGCTTCCATAATTACGCAGACATTTCAAACATCTTAAACGTCCATCTTAAAACTAGTACATAGGTACTCGGCCAGGCGATCCACTCAGCGGCTAGGGCGTCCGCACCAGGACCGCCGGGGTGGGTGACGGAGCACCTGCGCGACACTTTTCTCTCTGAGCCCGCGTATCTGTCCCACCTGCTAGAGGTCTTCACCCAGTGGACCAAGGGAGAGGTAGCGGAGCGCGTGCGACCCTGGCTCACTGCGTCCAACTTGGTGGGCCTGTCGAAGCCGAATGGTGACGTTCGCCCGGTGGCTATAGGCGAGGTGCTCCCCCGCATACTATCTCGGGCCATATGCATCGTGCTCCGCCCGAAGATGATGTCGCACTTTACTCCGTGTAACCAGTTTGGAGTCGGGTCCAGGTCGGGAGTGGAAGTCCTCGCACATGCCTTTCGCTCCGCCATCTCTACTCACCCGTCGTGGTGCGCACTGCAAATTGACGTGGCGAACGCTTTCAACTCCTTCCATCGGCGGGAAATGTTTGAGGGTCTTCGACAGTCGCCTTTCAAGGGATTGATTCCATTTCTGCGTGTCTTCTACGGCACTCCTAGCGACCTCTATCTCCGAGCGGGCCCTTTTGTCGAAGCTTTGGCTTCCGAGCGGGGCTCGAGGCAAGGGGATCCATTGGATCCGATTCTGTTCGCGTTCACACAGCAGCTGGTTATGGAACCAACCAAAACGGAGTACGCCGACTTACTCTTCCTCAGCTATGCTGACGATACGTATATCATGGGGCCTAGGGAACGGGTTCTAGCAGCCCATGAGGCCTTGCGGGAACGACTGGACGGGCTGGGTTTGGAGGTGCAGCCGCATAACTGTAAGCTATGGGAGCGAGGGAGGGACCAGGATGGGGAGGAGAGAAATGAGACTGTCCCGCCCGGCATGCAGCAGACATGGACGGGGCTCACTATGGTAGGGGTGCCCATTGGGGAGGAGGACTGGGAGGTGGCTAGCCTGCGTCGCCGACTGACGGAGCTGCGTGCACCTGTCCCCTGGCTTCCTCTGCTTGACCACCCACAGATTGCGTCCCATTTGTTGGCGATCGTAGTGTCGGCGCGCCCGATCTACCTCACACGGACGATGCCTCCACGACCTGAGGTTGTGGAGGCTTTTCGGGACTGGGATACGAAGCTGGAAGATTGTTTCGAGGAGCTGTTTCCAGATAATACCTGGGATCACGATTCGGGGAAGTCTCAGATGGCTCGTTTACAGCTGCACCTTCTGTCAAACATATGTTATATTGTTTATATCTAGGCTGTAGTGGGTTAGATACTAGAGGGTATAGGGTTGTTTCTTGTACCTCTCGAACTTCTCCTAGTGCAACTTTTCTCTCGACTCTCACATGGTATAGAGCTTAGGTTCCTACCACGGGCCCACCTTTTCTAGACTTTTTTTTACCTGCCCGAGGCGCGCTTTGCGCCCTGCCCGAAAATTTCGCGGCCTCTTAGAGGCCTGCCCCGTTAAGGAGCGTCGCGGCCCCCTCTAAGGCCCGTTCGCGGCCCCTTAATCCCCCTTCGCGGCGCTTCGTGTTCTCCCCTTCGCGACGCCACGCGACCCTTTCGCGGCCCCTTGAGGCCCTTACGCGTCGCGTCGCGGCCCCTACGCCGCCCTTCGCGGCCCCTTCGCCGCCCTTCGCGGCCCCTACGCGGCTCATTGGGGTCCCTTCGTGGCCCCGTCGCGGCTCCCTCATGGCCCCCTTCGCGGCTCTTCCGCCGCGCTTCACGGCCCTGTCGCGGCCTCCTCCGCAGCTCGTCGTCACCAGCTGCCGCCGCCGCTGCTCTTGCCGTGACACCTGCCGCTGCTGCACCTACGACAGCAGCCGCCGCCGTTGTTGTGTCAGCCGCCGCCGCTCCTGCCGTCCCAGCTATCGCTGCTACTGCTGTGACAGCCGCTGCCGCTGCTGCAGAGACAGCCGCCGCCGCCGCTGTTCGTCGTAGCCACCGCCGCCGTCCCGGTCCTGTTCTGCCGCCCTTTCGCGGCCCTGACCTTGCTCGAGCGCCTCGGCCCTGCCCCACCACCTTTGGCCTTCTCTAGCCCGCCCCTGGTAAGCGCATCGCCGAGTCGCGCCTCAAACTGCTACTACCTCACCTTGCTTGCTTTCTCTGCTGCTGCTAGCCTGCGTCGCCTGCTGCCATGGCTAGCCCTGCTGTGCTTACCTTCGATGCTGAGGGGCGAGCGATAGATTTTGAGGTCTGGCTTGACGACTTGCAGCTGTTCCTGCAGTGTGATAGCAAAGACGATGTCTCGCTGCATGACCTCACGTCTGGTGCTTCCCCCCAGCCTGCTACTGATGCTGATGCTACTGTGCGCTCTCGCTGGAACACTCGCGATGCTGCTGCCCGCCTTGCTGTGCGTAGTCACCTGCCGTCTGCTGAGCGTGCGCACTTCACTCAGTTTAAGACCGCTAAGACCCTGTTCGATGCTGTCGTTGCACGCTACTCCTCCCCTGCCTCTGCTGCCCTTAGCCGCATCATGCTGCCCTACCTTTTCCCTGACCTCGCTGCCTTTGCTACAGTTGCTGACCTCATTACGCACCTCCGCACTAGTGACACTCGCTACCGCGCTGCGCTTCCTACTGAGTTCTGCGCCAAGAACCCCCCCCCCATGTACATCACCCTCTACTACCTTGTCACCCGTCTTCCTGACTCCCTTCGCTCAGTCAGGGACCACTTCCTAGCTCTCTGCCCCACCACACTCACCGTTGACCTCCTCGAGAAGGAGCTCCTTGCAGCCGAGCAGAGTATAGCCGCTGTCGGAGCCTCTCGCGGTGACCCTCGCACCCCTATATTTGAGGGGTGCTCCCCTGTTCCCCTTTTGCCCTCTGTTGCCTCTGCTGCTGCTGTCGACCTCCTTGGCACTTAGTCGGTCGGAGCTGCGTCTGCCCCTGGCGGGAGGCGCCGCAACAGCAAGGGCAAGGGTGGCAAGGGTGGTGGAGGAGCTGGCGGGGGTGGTGGTGGTGGCGGTGGGGGCGGCCGGGGGGGTGGGGGTGGAGGTGGGAGTGGGGGCGGGGGTGGGGGCTCTGGTGGCGGCGGTGGAGGCGGGGACAGTGGCAGCGGCGGCGGTGGGACTGGAGGAGGTGGAGGTGGCGGCGGAGGCAGTGGAGGCGGCAGTGGCGGGGGTGGCGGTGGTACTGGTCGGGGTGGCTCGGTGCAGAGGGGAGGCTCCGGTGGTGGACAGCGTCCGCAGCAGCAGCGCTCTCGTGAGGCCCCGCCGCCGCAGCAGCTTCACCAGTGGTACGCTGGGCGTCAGCGGCCTGGGGGTGCTGGTCCCTGTACATACTTCTTTCGTACTGGTGACCGCACTGGAGAGCAGTGTGGAGGCGCGCACACCACTCAGCGCTGCTTCGGTCGCCTGACAGACGCCTGGCGTCTTAGGTTCCCTGAAGCCACTGAGCTCCCTCGCTGGCATGAGCTGCTTAGGTCGGGCGTTGCTATCTTTGATCTTGACTATGATGCTATCCTTGCTGCCATGTATGTTATGTCTACTAGTGATGACGGTGACTGTTACCTGAGTGTTCCGCCCGACCCGGGCGGTGCAGCTTTTGCTCTAGGTGCTAGTGAGTCTGCTGCTCCAGGTGCTAGTGAGTCTGCTGCTCCAGGTGCTAGTGAGTCTGCTCTCTCAGGTACCACGTCGGCTCAGGCGTCGCACACTTTCACCCTTGACTCGGGTGCTTCCCGCTCCTTCTTTCGAGACCGCACCACTCTTACGCCGCTCAACCGGCCGGTTGCGGTCTCCCTGGCAGACCCCTCTGGGGGTCCTGTCCTTGCTCACTACTCCACTGTCCTGCCGTGTCCAGCTGTCCCGTCTGGCTCCTTGTCCGGTCTTTACCTCCCCTCGTTCTCTACGAACTTGGTGGCGGGTGCTGACCTACAGGATGGGGGAGTTGACCAGTTCACTCCTGCGCGTCAGCGGGTGACCCACTGCACGTGTGCTGACACGGGCCGACACTTGGCCACGTTTACTCGTCGGCAGGGGTCGAGCCTGTACACACTGACTACCGAGTCTCCGCCGGTTGCTGTTCCTGGTCAGGTAGCT